CCACCCTACCCTGCAAAAATGGCCACTTCCTAATCCCTGGAACCTGTGAAAAAGCTACCCAACATGGTGAAAGGGACTTCACATATAAGAGTTAAAGATGTTGAGATGGGGATATTAGTCTGGATTATGCAGAAAAGACTAATACAAACCCAAGGGCCCTTACAGGAGGCAGGAAGTCAAAGAGAGGATAGAGAGCAGAGCTGATGTACGTTTAAGGTGGAAGACGGCCACGAGCCAAGGAGTGCTGGGGGTGTCTAGGAGGTGGAAAAGCTACGGAAACAGATTTTCCCTCAACATCTCCAAGAAGGAATGTAGTCCTACCAACATCTGAATTTTACCCCAGTAAGACCCATTTTAGACTTCTGATCTCCAGAACAGTAAAATAGTTTCTGTTGTTTTACACCAGTAAGTTTGTGGTAATTTGTTACAGTAGCAATAGGAAACAAATACACTTGCTTACGTTTCTCTTACTGACTCATACATTTCGTGCTTAAATTCATCTTACTCCCATGTCAGGAGGAAGTGACTATTAATAGCCTACTGTTGATCAGAAGTCTTATCAATAACATAAAGTTGATTAACACATTATTTTGTATATTATATACTGTATTTTTACAATAAGGTAAACTAGAGAAAAGAAAATGTTTTTCAAATTGTCACAAATCTTCAACAAGTTTTCCAATATATTTACTGAAAATAATTTGCATATCAAGTGGACTCTTGCAGTTCAAACTCATCTTATTCAAGGGTCAACTGTACTTTCTTCTAAGTTTTAAAGTTTGTTTTTCACACCTAGATTTCCATTAATCCATCTATAACTTACATTTGTGTTTGGAGTAAAGCACGATTCTAACTGTACTTTTTCCAAGTAAAGTGCCATTTGTCTGAACATAATTTATTTAACAGATCATAATAGCACCACTGTAATGCTATTTCTTTACCTTCCAAATTCCATTCTTTATGGAGGTGAGTTTCTTTGCCATCCTACTGCACCGTTCTGTGGTCTTCATGCACGAAGACCCTCTGTGCTAATTAGGCCTGTACAGCCCAGCACGCATTTGGTCGGACAAGTGACCCTACCAGTTGTTCTTAAAAGTCATCTTGGCTAGTGTGGATCCCTGTCTTTTCCAAATTAATATTAGGATAAACTTCATGTTTTATACCATCCCAATCCCCTTAAGAAAGATGGAAAATTCTGAAAGCATTTTGTCTGAAATCTGTATTATTTTGGGGAAGGCCATGTCTTTACAATATTGAGTCTTTTCATCTACAAAAGGTTTTATCTCACCATCTTTTATGTCTTCAGTAAAGTTTTTATTTCTCCCACAAAGGACTTACTTGCCTTGTTAGATTTATTTTTGAGCAGTCTGTAGTTTAAATGGCATTCATCTTGCATACAGGAATTTTTTAGCATTCATATTAACCCTAAGAATTTATCTGTAGATACTCTTTCCAATTTTGTTTCTTCCTTTATATTTTTTTGGTTTTTGTCTTATTTAAGTAGCTAGGACTCATAGAAGTGGCAGCAGTAGAGACCTTCATCTTCTGCCTGAATTTAAAGGGAAATGCTTCAAATGCTTCACTCATAAGTGTAATGTTTACTGTAGGTTTTTCCTGGCCTTTATTTTTAAACTCTACACAGTAGTTAATATTGTTAGTTATAATGCAGATGGGTTCAGTTGAAAAGTTTAAGAGTAACCAAGCTTTTCTACACTTCATTCTGTGGCTGGATTTACAGCCTTCTATTTATAGCTGTGTCCCTTATTCAGAGCCCTTACACAGAATGAATCACTCACTGTCTTGCCAATTCTTATTCTACCTCTTTAGTTCATTCCTGTCATCACAGTCATAATTTCATTTGAAATTTCTCTATAGCCTTTCTTTGCTCTGCCTACTTAAGCTGCCAGGACTGGATTATTACTTCAAAGGAAGCCAACTTCCACGCCACACCACCATGGAGACACTAAAGCAGCAAGGAGCAGACTTGCTCCCATGGAAACATAATAAAAGCAGGTTACCCCACACACTACTAGGCCAATGCTTAAACACTTTAGTTTCCCCACCCACCTCCAGCTCCTAACCAACTGATGTGGGGACTGTTATATGGCACAACCTTACAGAAACTAATATACCATCTTATTCCCTCAGACCATGTAAGTCCTAAGGCTGGATACATTTTTCATGTACAATTAGAAATATGCTCAGGATACTTACCTGCAACAGATGTGGAGATTGTCAAAGATTTAAAAATGCCTGTTCTAACAGTTTCTTTACAGATGAGTTGAATGAGGTCTAAATAAATTTAAGTGATTTGCTCAAGGTCACAATGGTGAGAAGCAGAACTAGAAACTATACTCCCAGTTCCTTTCACTGTAAAATGACTGCAAATTATGCATCTGTGGGCCTCTAAAATGTAATTTGCACAAATAGAAATCAGCCTGCAGCAAACTGTTATTTGCAAAACATACCGATCTTATATGAAGATTAAGTATTAAGACTCCTCAGTACTCTACCATTATGACAATTCAGCACTAAGTCACAGCATGTCTGGGAATGCCAACCACAGGAAACACCCTCAGAATTCTGCAGTTTTAACTCATAAAAGCAAACTCAAAAGATTAGCTCATATGTATGAGAAGTCAACTCAACTAAACAAAACATTTCCCAGGATCAGTCCATAATCACACGGGGTTGTAGCGCAGATGTGGTAGTATTAATCTATAGAAAAAGGCATGCTAATCCTATGAAGACACCGTAGGGGGAGAAGGGATATGGAAGGAATCAGAGAATAGGATAGGTAGTGTGTGTCTAGCACTCTCTAGGGAAAGAAGGCACAGACTTTGGAGAATACAAGAAACTGGGACCCTTGGGAATGGGAGGAGTCTCTTTCGTGGGGAATGTTAGCTGGATAAGCTAATCTCAAGACATCTATTTCATTTTACCCAAATGTTATGCTCAACAAATAACCTTCTGATGACTAATTTAGTTTCTTGTGTTCTTCCAGAGAGGCAGAAAGATTCCCAGGACAGAATTCTCAAGCATTCCAGCCCACTAGAACCTACCCACGACAAATTACTAAACTGGCCTTTTGGTTCATGTATCAGTCTTCAAAGTCTGATCAACTCAGGGCTTCAGGGCTACCAGAGGACAGCATGGCTGACTTCACCAAGGAAGTGCCAGCTGTTGAAGCATCTTCACAGTCAGTCTGCAGGTCTCTGCCGAGATGCCCAACCTGACCTCATATTTCTTCCACTTCAATCCCAAACCTAGTGCCTAACACATCTTCAACAAACACCTTCCAAAGATTTAGAACATATGTGTAAAAGCATTAAGGAAACAAATGTGCTGTCCTTACATAAACTGAATATACTCTAATTTAATCACTTCTTGGATTGAAAAGGCTATATAGCTCTCAATTTCTCCCCAAGAGGAACCTTCATCTACACCACTTGGATTCCACAGAACCAAAACAGGGAAAATGCAAATGCACAAGAAAACTTACATAGAAATATTTCCCTCTCTATATATTTTTTATTTCTAATTTTATTCATTTCTTACTTCATAAATGTAAAACTGTAACTCTTCAAAGAAAATAGTATTACTCATTAATCCATTAATCATGACTGTTTCTAACATGCCCACCTTAGTAATTCAGTTGGTTTAATTTAGTGAATTAGCAGATCCTTTCAAGATGGTTCCTTCATATTTAGAACAACATATTTTGCTTTTAGACTTCAATTATCTGTCTGGTTTGACCACTAAAAATTGCTAAGAGAAGTTCTTTCCCAGTAAATATAGACTACTTCTCAATGCCCTTTTGAGCCTTATCAATACTTGGAGAGAATGACTGGACCACTTTTTTTTTTTTAATCATTTTTCTTCCAACAGGCAGGAAGCATCAGTAGCCACTTAAGTCTTTCCCAGCTGAGTGCCTAAGGGTCTACTGAAAGAGACCAAGGACTCTATTTCTGTTCTTGTTCCTCAGCCAAGACTCTATTCTTAGCCTGATACCAAGAATGCTCTATCCAGGAATGTCTTGTGAAATAAGAGTAAGTTGCTTATGTTGGGATCAGGGTTCCTGAGGATGGCCATCATCCCTGGAGTCAGCTCTGGTTGAAAAGGTCACATCACTCACTCCTACGACTATGTAGGGCTTTAACTCATCTCTGTGGAAATCTCAGCTTTGATCCAATGCTCCTAGAGAATAATCATACACTACTCACTATTCCAGATCCTCACTACTTCCTCTGCATAGAACTTCCCAACTAGGAACCCAAAATTTGATGCTACAGAGATAGATGTGACAGATCCCATTTTTTTTCCTGCATATAAAATTCTGAGTAAATATGATAGAAAGAAGAAACCACTTACTCTATAAAAATGGGTCTCCAAGGTGAGCCAGATAATTCTGTACACACCAAGCAGATCTCCACCTCACCCAAAGCAAGGTTTGAAACCAATACTGGTGGTGGCCCATGCCTTAAAATAACATTGTAAATCTGAGTACCACATTGTCCTGTGGCTTATCTAACACAATAAAAAAATGATCAAGTTATTATTTTTATTAAACAGCTATGATAATTACAACCATGATACTAATAGCTAACATTAAGGGAGTTGCTCACCATGTGCTGGGCATTTTATATAAGCTTCATCTTATTTAACATCCAGTGGCCTTAAAAGTACTCATTTTTTTTTTCATTAATGAGGAAATTGAGTAACTTTACTAATGTCACCCAAACTAGAATTTAAGCCCAGGCTTTATATTACTCTAGCTCCTAGGTTTGCATTCCTGCTCAGAAAAATAAAAGAAAAAAGGAAAATATCAATCTTATATATTGGTTAGATTTCATGAGTGAACCTCAGTTTTATAATCCACAAGTAAATTATTCAAATTTTAGTATTTCCTTGTGTCTCACTTCTTCCTACTTCATATCATTCACGGTTATTAAGCTGGATAAGAAGAAGTCTTATAATTATGCATTCATCACAGTACTTACATAGTCAATGGGCTTGAGGGATTTGACTTTAGATGCTGGGCAGCCACAAGAAGTAAGGTCAGCATAGAGGCCTTCTTCTAGCACACACTGATCACTACACATGTCCTCTTGGTAATACAGGAGCCAGCTAAAAAGCAAGCAGTGAGACACTTGGTCATACGGCACCAGTTGGCCACACGGGCTCATCACTGTGCTGTAGGAACCGCGTAAGAGGAGGTCACAGAAGTCAAGATGCTGACCAGCAGCAAACACCCGGCATCAGTTTTAAGAAACAGCCACAACTGTAATTTACTGTGTACCAGACACAGGCTAGCACTTTACTGGTATTTTACTGTGTCCTCAATAATGCTGTGACACAGAAACATATCCTTATTTTTAAAGGAAACAAAAGCAATGATTAGAAAGGACAGGGGGTTTGCACAAGCTCTCCCCAACTATTAAATGATAGAGTTGAAATTTGAAAACAGTAGCTATCTGCTTTAGGCTGAAGACACTGGCTTCATTCAGTGCCTTAAAGTACAAAACCCTGGGTGACCAAATCCAAATGGTTATTAAGTTCCCAAACAGATTAGTAGTTCTTTTCGGGAAAAACAAAGATTTGTATCCTTACTTAATGATGAACTTAACTGTCAGCCTAGGTAAGTATAGAAGCTAGACTCCTCCAATCACACACAATATTTAAAATCTGTCACTTGAACATATGATAGTTAATGGGGAGTTTTAAGAAGAAATGAACCCTTTAGAATCTTTAATAGTGAATTACCTTCAATACAGTACTCATCAAAAACTTTAAGATATCCCCTTTTGTCTTAAAAAAAAAAAAAAAGGAGCCCATGGGGGAAATGAATTGGCTGTTACTACTTCACTTTTAGTGTATGTAAGCTCTGGTACTATACTTTAAGGTCACCAGAACTGTACTCTGGCTGCACAAAGTTAACTCTGGATAACCACAGAAATGCTCTGTGACATTACAATTTACTGTCATATCTTTTATGTAATAAGCATTTTATAGTCACTATTTATCAAAGGTTTTCCATGTGTCAGGCATGGAATTAAGTCCTTCATGTACATTGCTTATTTAGTCCTTATAAGAATCCTTTGAGGTAGGTACAGTTATTATCCCTCCTTTAAAGACGAAGAAACTGAGATTCAGAGATGATCCCATTTGCTTAAGGTTCTATAGCTAGGAAGGGTTGAACCTGGGCCTAAATCCAGATCTCTAAGCATTCCAGGTACTCAGGCAATAGCCATGGTTCTTGTATTCTTTTATTAAACTGCATTTTAATAAACTACACATAAATATAAATGTACTTTATATACATTTTATATGTTCATGTTTTATTATACATAAACATTAATATACACATTAATATATTATATAAAATTACATAGAAACTATACATAAGAATTATATATATAAGTAAAATGTATATCCCTACATGAAACAACATGTATGACTAATTTATCCTTGATTTCAGTGTTAGGAAAAAATATTTTTCTCTGGAAAAACTTCAACATAAAAAAACATAAAAGCTTCCTTTTATCAGAAAATGAAAACATATTTTACAATAATTTCTTTTTAGTGGAGAATAAACTCAAACCAAAACTAGCAACAAAATTATTTAGCTCCTAAACATATTTATTTCTCTCTCAGATAAGAGATGCAGATAACCTATTTAAAACTCATAGTATCCCATTTTAAGTGCTTTGATATTATAGAAACTTCATATCCTTTTTGGAAGTGACAGATGCAGAGAAGTTCAAAGTAGTATGAGCTACAGGAAATCTGAGAGGGAAGACTGGCTAAACTAATCAAGAACATTAACGGGGACTCAGGATGGACTGAATTTTAAAGATATATCTGGAATAGTATTAAACAGGGCCATTAACTTACACACCTGCAGGAGGCCAGGCAGGTAACATGAGTGGTGCACCGGGTGAAAAAACTGGGGACTATATCCTGTGGTACACTGGCAGAGCACAGGCCATTTACTCAACACTAGCTAATCACTGCCAAAGGTGAACAGTTCCCCAAAGTTTTCAGATCTTCAGATTTTTAAAGAGGTATAAAATGGTTTCTTCTGAAAAACATCCTAAACCTAAATATTGATACAAAAGCTTTTTTTTAAACATAGTGTGTAGGCCAAACATGTAACAGTTGCTGGCTAGATTTCCCTGAAACCTTTGATATGGAGCAGGGGTTAGCAAATGATAGCCTGAGGACCAAATCTGCCCCACAGCAGGTTTTTGTGCAGTTCAAAAGCTAAGAAGACTGGTTTTTGCATATTTGAGTAGTTTAAAAAATTAAAAGACAAATATTTTGTGACATGTGAATACTCTATACAATTCAAATTTCAATGTTCATGGAGTTTCATTGGAACACAGCCATGCGTAATTCATTTATGTATTGTCTGAGGCTGCTTTTCTGCTACAAAGGCAGTGCTCAGTAGCTGGGTCAGAGCCTGTGAGGGCCCACAGAGCCAAAAATATTTACTACTTAGCCCTTAAAAGGAAAAGTTTGTTGACCCCTGGGATGGAGGGTAAGGCAGAAAATGCAGTTGAGGAAATTCTGGAAGAGAGGACAGGAAGACAGTGTAAGGACAGAGTAGAGAATGGACAGAGAACAGTAAGACTTGATGGTAACACCTGGAAAAGGAGGAGTCTGACCTTGATCTGACTGGCTGTGGAATTTAAAACAGAATAGTAAAAATACTGAACTGGATTTTTGGAAAAATAATTAGCCTATGACTTGTTTGTGGTAAATGATGGAAATTAAGACAAAAGTGGAATAGGGTTGATTAGGAGATCGAAGTTCCTTAAATGGAAGACAGGAGATCCAAGACTGCTGGCTCAAGGAGAGGAGGAGTTGATGAATCCAAGAGATCTTGAAGAATGAATAGAGAGACTGATGAGTTATTAGGTTGATATGAAAACATAGATACCACTGAACTACACACTTGAAAAATTATTAAAATAGGACATTTTATGTATATTTTACAATAAAAAAATACATAGAATATATATTAGGCTTAAGAAATACATACAGTTTCACATACATCTAAGAAAGTTCCAGTATGTTGCTACAGTTGGAAGAACACAGGATTAATAAAAAATGGCCAAAGCAATCCTGGCTCTTACATTTGTATGTGCCCTTGGGAAACCCTAGCTCTGAATCAGCCTCATCTGTAAAATGGGGATGATTACACTTTAAACAAACAAAAAGACTTTTTAAAGTTTAGGGGTAATATTGTCTTATCTGGACAAAAACACTTTAAAAAAATAGCATTCTATTATGCTGTACAATGAACATACATGTAAAAATTCAACATTATTTAGGAAATAATCTAACAATGAGAAAAAAAAATTGACCAAAATGCTCCCAAAGTTGCCTGATGAACACTTTGTTTCTCTGTGTTACACAATGGCTCATAATACAGGTCGGGCAAAGTTAACATAGGTTAATTAGCAGTTAACCAATGATTTAAGAATCTTTTAAATTCACTGTGTATGAAAAAAAGAGCCATATCTTTGTAAATTCGAAAGAAATGCAGTTATTAAATAACAGCAGAAAACATTCAATAAGCATACTTACCAACCTCGAAGAACTTTAAAAGAACATGGTGTGAATGAAGTCAAATCTGAAATTTCTTCTGTGAAATCTACACATTTGCCTTGGAACCCTGGTTTACTGAATGACTTGAGCTACAAGAACACAGTAATTAAACAGGAAACAATGGTTTAACATTGCCACAAAAGAAAAGAAAAACCTTTAGTTTCATATATTTATAAGAAAATTCAGCAAAACATTAAGACAGGAATTTATATCCTTTAACAATGAATCCACAGTAAGGATGGCATTCTCTACATTTTTTCCCCCTTACCTGTTTCCAGAAGTGACACTATTTATTTACCATTTTCAGTGATCTCTTGCACCAGATTCTGCACACACAGGCTCCAAAAACAAAAATCTATAAGATTAATCAGAATCCCTCCTCCACTAAAATGTGGTCTTTATCCATTGTATCACTTAGTATCCTGTGGTGAGACTACATGTATAAAATAGGAAGCAATTTGGTGCTAAATATGAAGGCAGTCTGGATTAGCATGAGGAGTGGCTTGTATGCCTTTTGTCTTCCCAGGTCTTGCTGATCCACAGTTAATAAAAGGCAGGAGGGAGTGTGAGCACATGCTCTTAACTGAGTCTAAGCATGCCTGTGAGAGCACAGCAGCAGATGGTGCAGAAGATTATGATGATGGGATTAGTAAATGATGTATGGTGAAGAAAGAAAGATATCTGTATCATGTATTTCAAAATGGTTACAGACTTCAGTTTACCAATAATTCATCTTAAATGTATAGCTGAAGGTTTACACAAGTGCTACATTTCTACTTTAGTCTTTTTGTCAAGAAAAACCCATGAAATCTCACCTATAATTCCCTTTAGAAAAGAGATATAATTATCTGTAAGTCTAGTGGCTTTCAAATTATAAGTCAGAAAAAATTAATGAGCCCTATAAATATTTCATAATACACTGGAGCTGTGAAATTAACATGGCCCACAGGCCCACTCTGCTCCAACAGGCCTGCATCTGAGCTGAGGAGGCATCACTCATCAATCTGCAAGACTGTCCTAGCTCCTGATTGTGCAGTCATCAAGAACAAGGCTTCTCTGAGAAGTTGATCACCTCCTTCATCTTCCCAAGAGTCCTCTCTTAGGTTGATGGTCTCTGGGAAATCACTGTTTGTCTGTGTCATTCTGCTCTGACCTTGCTTGGTCTGATAACCAAAGACCAGCCAAAACCAGGGAGGTGAGAAAACCAATCCCCCTCGACCAACTATGGCTTGTACAACAGGACTTCCTATTGTGAAACTAGGCTCTGTTTGAAGCACTGAAACAACAAGGGACTCCCTGTCTTAAGGAGGTATGATCCAGCAGGTTTCTGTCATGGTCCTTCCGGCGGATACAGAGGATAGTAAGAAAAATAATGCCCCAAATGAGACAGATCTCTGGAATAATCCCTGTGTAAGAACAATTCTACATGTCCCAGAAAACTGCCCCTAAATTCCTTGATAAAAGCATGTATTTTGGTTAGTGATTTTTCAGACTTCTTTTTAACAGCAAGATGTATAAAACATGAGGCTAAAAAAGTAAATCACATTTGACTTCCAAAAACATAGTTTCTACTACATACAAATATCTTAATTCATAGTAATAATCAGAAAACCACATCAAAACAGCACAGCTGTCTCATTCACTGGTTATATTCCAGTTTACTGAATTATTTTTATATTGCTGAGCTCAAGATTTATACTCTCAGTAAGTATTCCACCATAAAGCCATGAAATGTCAAATCCTCGACAAGTGACAATGAAAGACAAGCTTGTGTGAGATGGCACACACAGCAGTCACCCAGAGTTTTTAGTTTCAGTTCCTCACACAGAAACATTAATTAAGATTTACAAAGACACATGATCTGCTGTAAAGTATCTTTTTACTTACTAGGTTAAATTCCTTCTTTGCCAGAACTAAAATACCAGGCTTAATGCTGATATGAGTCTACTTTTACTCCTACTAATAAGATATGATATAAGGTTCACCCAAAATCTGACCAACCCCAGAAGAGAACAAAAAAAATCTGACTACCTTATAAATTCCTCAGAATAGAACAATTCTCGTAGTAATGTTTTGAGGATGACCCATTTATAAACCAACTCTGTGCTTACTAATAATTAAACGGTGGTTTCTAACTCTTAGTGAAATAAACAATCAGTGCCTTGGTAAAATTAAGTCCTGGGAAAAGCTAACTGGATAAACCACTATTTCGGTTTCCTTTCCAGATAAATGGAAAATAAATGTATGACTCAGGTTGCTTGGAACCTGAGCAAATAGATAGACCAGAGATGAGTTTATTTCAAACTATGCCCATCCCTCTGTGCCACCTGAGCACAGCTCAGTTCCTCCCAACCTCCCAAACGGAAATGCATGGAAACAGAAAAAAGGGCAGTGTACCACTGGTTTGCAAGGTGCCTTTTCACATTTACTATCTTTATTTCTTCTTTATAACTACCCTTTTGAGACAGAAACCACTTTATGATGAAAATTTTGTAGAAATGCTTTTTAGCATGTATTTTTTATTTATTACATACATGAATATATAATAGATCTTTATTCTGTTAAACTAAAAACTCAATAATTAGTGACCAAGCACAAAAGTTGTGCTCATTTATTCCACAGTATCAGAATAATTTTGGGAATTTATTTTATTCCAATGCTAATATAATTTCTATGAGTAACTTTCTATCCTATCTAAACAAGACTTTCTGTAGCCTTTTGGACTACCCTTATGCAAGCATGCTATTTGTTAAACAAAGAACACCCGTTTCCATTCTTCTTATTGTTATGTTCTTCTCTCATCAATTACTTTTTATACGCTAATTTTACTTCCCTGATTACCACAGAAGGCTTTCTTTACTTAGATAAGTAGTTCTTGAGTATTTATGGCCTTTGGTACCATAAAGAAATGCTTTCCTTTTTTGCTATTGAATCATACTGATATTTACCTAAAACTGTTGTTTTCCTATCCCCTCTACATGGTAACAGTTACCACAACTGTTTCAGGTCCTGTGATCACTCTAAAATTCACTGTGGCAAAATTATCCAATACAAGAAAATATCTAAGTTTGCTTTTTCTCCACTAAAATCATATATAAAATGAACAGGGGCTCAGTATTTAAAGAAATCCAAACTCCTAACTACAAAGAAAGGTCACTGGTTAGTTCTAAGCAGGTACTCAGTTAGAATTTCTAAAGAATGGTGGTGCCTGACTACAATCTCCCTGAATACTAAACTCACTTTTATAAGATTTATTTTGTAAGTGAGATGTCTGACATTACTCACAGAGAGATACGGGAACATTATGAACACAATCCACATTGTTTTTTTGTTTTGTTTTGGGGAAAAAAAAACAAAATAAAACGCCACCTGCTAATTATGAAGAACTTCATGATGTTATTTTGAGTTGGCAATTAGGCTTGGCGATCGATCTTAAGCCACAGGGGAAAAAAATCTTAATAAAAGGAGGTGTTCTGCATCCCAAATATGATATCTCTCATCATAATATGCTGACACATCAGCAGTAGTACTTTTATTAGTGTAACTCTCATGATGTGCATTTATCTCCGAACACACACATTTTCTGGCTTCGCCCTTCTCAGGTTACCTGAGGTTCCCTTTAAAATCACCAGCATAAAAAATTTCCTTTTCTGACTTGAACACTGGGATGTAACTTTCTCCTCATCCCTCAGGGAAAATAAGTGCCTCATCTGAAGGCAGCATGTGACTAGTCAATCTACTTCACAGCCACTTGTGAAGGAGAAAACATTTTCTGGTTACTGAACGCAAGCAGGGTGTCAGTCCAGATCCATCTGTTTTTATTTGGGTAAGTAAAAACAAGCAAAACACTCTGGAAAACTGGTCCAATGAAAATAATAAGAGCTTTGATACTGAGTAAACTAAGGAGTCTTTGTCTGCATGTTACCAAATACCCAGCTATCATATACCTGTCAGAAATGCTTACTTCACAAGGCAATAGCTGAGTCAAATCCAGAAAATTGAAGTGGGGCTGATTTCACAGGCATTTCTACTGCTTCCTTCTCTTCAAGTCAGACTGGAAATACTATAAAGAAAATCCTCCAAGCACTCTGTCCCAAACAAGGAAGTCCATAAAAAAAAACAGAATGCAGGAGGGGAAGAAACAGAGCTTAAAAGTATGTGACTTTTTATCTGCACTTAAAACTCAGAAAATATGCAGTTTAAATTATTCCTGTTTAACTTTTTACCTACTTAGGTTATGTTGACTCCTGAGAAACAGGGCTTTCCAAGTCCACAGCTGGAGTTTTCAAAGATTCAAAATAAAAATCTGGCAGGAAGTATCTCTAAATACAACAGCTCAATTATATTCAGAAAGGAAATGTTCCCAACAGGCCTGCACTAATCAGAAAATAAGAAAACCTGAAAGCATGTGAACAGAAACACCTTTAAGCTTATTTGAAATATAAAAACAATGATATGAACATGAAAAATACATTCAGAGAAAAAGATTCAGTGTTATGTAAAGCTACCAAATGTCAAATACTTAATCACTGTATTAGGCTTTTTGACATAACTTTTCCAAATCTGTTATTTAAAATGAGATAGAGGAAGGAAGCAATGTCCCTCATCCCCTTTTCCTTCTATAGTTGTACTGTTCATATGGTATCTTTGATGTAAACTCCTGAAAATGTGGTTAACTGGAGTTAGATAAGAAATGACTGTTTTAATATTTATGGCTGTGTGACATGACATGCACTTAAATTCTAAATCCTGGTTTTCTCATTAATAAATGGGATTAACCTTGATCTTGCAGAGGCATTAGAAGCACTAAATAAACACAACCCAGCCCACAGTGAATAATAAACAAACATTAGGCTCCAGAGTACTGCCCAGCCCTTCAAACCATTAACACACCAGAAACAAAGAAGTAGGGTTGTAGTTCTACTGGCATTTCAAAGAAATACTTGATTTAGGCATTAGAAGTACATCTACATAAGCTGCATGCAAAGACAGCCATTTCTCCACGGAAGGTCTGATCCTCCAAAGACAGCATAAGATACTGTGCTGAGTAAGAACGTGACTCTGAAGAATGGGCAGGCAATAGGAAAGAAAGTGTGACAAAGGTTCAAAACGACCCCATGGTTGTCAGAGCTGAAGCTCTGTCAAGGAGAAAACAAGGAACTGTGACAAATCCAGATGGGTGGGTGTTCTTCTCATAGATACCAAGTACAACACAAACGGCCGTGCCACATGGACACATGAAAGGTATCTGAGGGGAAGCCAAAGACTTGAGATTCAAGGGACTAATGCTTTTAGTAGGCAATTTAGCAACTATAAGTTAAGAATATTTTTAAACATACCAAATGTGGAGGCTCATTTATCCCAAGCGGTTCCTGAAACATACATTAAAACATTAAAAATAATTATAATCAGATAATCTTAATTGTCTTTTGAAAGTTTTGAAAATATCCAATGAAAAATGGTAGGGAAAAAGTCTGAGCAATTTTCTAGATTCCTTGAACTGGTTATGATCCTCAAATAACATACTGATTTATCTTATAATAATTTTGGCATTACTAATTTAAGTAATACTGAAGTTGGAAGAAAAATGTGCCCCAATGCCACTAGAAAGACTCTGAGAGCTTCCTGCCATTCCCTTTCCCACCACTATCTCATGGTTGTCTTTAATATTCTCCAGTGTTTGTTATAGCCACACTGGTCCCCCACTCTTTCATAACTTCATGACTTTGCATACAAGATTATTCCCTCTTTGCAGACTGCCTTTCTGCCCCATTTCCTGACGGGGCAAAATTGCTTTTATCTCTTTAGATATCACTCAGTCCATCCTCTGATTACAGAGTGCATGGTCCCTAACTCCCCAGTCTCTGAGCGCTCCTTCACTGGCTCCCAGGCAACTGCCTACCCACTGTACTTTCTCGCTAATCATGTTGTGGTTGACTATCCATAGGCCTATCTCCTCTAAGAGGTTGAAATCCATCAGAGCAGTGTTATTCGTCTTTCATATCCAGTGATCAGTAGTGTCTGCTATAATCAGAGGCACTAAATACTGCTGAAGGAATGAACAGAGAGAATTACAGTACCATCTCATCAATGTGCTAATACCATCCAGCTCTCTATAGAGTCTACAGAAATTCATAAGTTTCATTTTCTTTATATGTACATACTTAACATAATTGAACAGTTCCACTATTTAAAAGCCTGTTCCATAGATTCAACTGTATGGCACTACATGCCACTGGCATGGGTCATGTTCATACTTAACTCACCAGTTGGATAGGTCGTATTGACATGATTATATTATCTGATCCTCCCCAGTCAAAAAAGCATTTGTATTTCCCTTTCTCTAAAATGTATTGTTCTCCACAGAAGAACTTCTGCTGGTAAGCAACCCATCTAGTAAGGGAAAAAAAAGGAAAAACAGAGGTGATGCAGAACTGAGCAAAAATCTTAACCAAGAATTGTTAAGAACCAACAATCTTTAAACACCAAAGAATCAAAGTTCTCAGAGTAGGAGAGAACTTACACGCCACTTTTAACATGGATGGATCTTGTTTCACTGCCAAAGCTGGTTTCTTCTAAGTCAGAAATTTCCTGATTTGTAATGTCAATAAACTTCCCACTTTCTAGGTCAGATTCAAAAAGTGTGACAGAAGATTCTATAAAATTCTAAAAAGAGGAAGAGGAACATTTAGGAAACATAAGTATTTTATGGATTGCTGGAACTCAGCAAAATTTTCACATACTTGTGGGATAACTGTCACGTAAGCAACTCCAGAAAGAATTTTAAATGGCACTGGAAACAGTTTCAATAGTTACTACTCCTAAATAGTTTAAAGAAAAAAGTAAGTCTGAATTTACATTAATCAGGTAAACTGTATGATATACACAGAAGTTAGTCAACAGTTGGTAAAATGCTGGGGCTTAAAGGCTATTAATTGTAACACTTATTGTAAAGGAAACTAAAGAGTCTCCCTTTGGTCTGAAAAGTGAGTACCACATGAAACAAAAAGTAAATCTACAATGTGCTGTAGGCATTTTGTAGGAGAAGATTTTATGAGCTTACATGTAACAGAAAAAAACAAAATTGTTTGACCAAAAAATTATAAAAAATCAAAATGAGAAGAATTTTTAGAAGTATCTATAGTCAAACAACATTAAAACAAAAATATCAGAAAAATACTAAGACCCAAATTGATAAATCAGCAAGACAATTCACAAAGAAGATTAACATTAAAAACAAATAAGCAAATATCTAATGTTTCACTAGTAAAATTAAAGAAATTCAAATTAAAGCTATGAGATACAATTTTACTTTTTATTAAATTAAGGACCTAAAAATCCTGTTTTGTCAGGGAACACTGTTGATAGAAGGAAATACAAATTGGACAGCTATTTTAGAAAATAATTTAGAAATCTATTAAAAAGGCTGATAATATATTGTCTACATTAAACCTGAATTTCCCTTCTTGGCTAAGAAAATTTCCTAAATCTAAATTAAATGATGGACAATTTATATGCAAAGATACATTATTTACAATAGTGAAGAGCTGTTAACAGTGTAAATGTCCAAAAGATGTATAAACAAATCTTTATTCATCTGCCACTTGATGGAATACATATAAATAAGAGGTGTTTTTAACAAGCTGATAGTTAAAACATATTCTCTACCTATTGCTGGCTAGGAGCTCAGTGCATGTTGCCCCCAGAAGGGCCAATGCATAAGGCTGGCTTACTGTCCCTCTCGTCTCACAGCTGTGCAGACTGAGTGATGGGCTTGAGGGTAACACAGCTAACTCAGGGGAAGAGACTGAATTTGAGTCCACATCAGTCTATTTAGCTACCTTAAACTCTTAAACACTGTCAGACATAAAGGTAAGGATGAAAGAGCAAGACAAAAACTCGAACTTATAAACTTGGTAAATTACAAGCGCACAAAAGGAACCTAACTTTTCAATTAAGAACACTAGAAGAAAAAAAAATGCCAAGAGTGGTTACCTTCATGTCCAGGGAAGGGGTCAATTTCATACTATTTTCTCCCCAAAATCTTTATAATAGGTATATTTTTTAAATTGGAAAGTATAGAATACATTTGTTTAAAAAATAAGAATCAAAACTTCCTCTTCTCTGCCTACAACTTTACTGTTTGTAAATCAAGTCTTAGTCCTATGGAAATGTTAACTTCTCAACAATTTTTTTCCCTTTTTAATGTACTATAAATAAATTCTAAGCACAAAGGATTTTTAGGATAAATATTCATTTTATATGAATAAGCAAAATACTATCCAAAAACAGTGTAAGTAGAGAAAGAAAATGTATTTTTTGAAAATTCTCTTGCACTTATTACCTGTCAACTTTAAAGGACTGAGAAACTGCTGACACAGCTGGATCAAATTTGAGACTTTGGGATAAAAGATGAAGCCTTTTTACCTAAAATTGCTAGTATAAAATAATTACTAACCAATAATTGTGTTTTCATTTCTCCCTTGAGAGTAAACCTTTGGAAACTGAAGATACCTGTCACCTTCATTACTTACTCATGGCTCTTAAAAAATGGGAGCTGGGTGGACTTTTTCTTCATCACTCTTACCATCCCTCCTTCTGCAGCTTCCTCATCTCTTTATACAATTGAAGAGAGTTAGGGCTTTGCTCTGGATTAGGCTCTGGCTTAAGGGAATGTTGTGGCTTCTTTGATCTTCTTTCCAGATCACTGAAACTTTCCCCGTATCAGCGATTAGGCTGTTTAATTTCTTTTCGTTCTTTCTTTCTTTTTATCATTCCTGTGTCCACTGGATAGTACACTATTTACTTCCCTCAAGAAATACTCCTTCACATTCATAACTTGGCTGTTTGGCACAAGAGGCCTAGCTTTCAACATTCCTTTCTCACTAAGCTTCATCATTTCTGGCTTTTGATTTAAAGTGAGATGTGCAGCTCTTCCTCTCACTGGAACATGTAGAGGCCATTGTAGGGTTATTAGTTGGCCTAGTTTCAGTATTGTTGTGTCTTAGGGAATCAAGAGACGGGAATGGCTGGTTGGTGGAGCAGTTAGAACACATACAACATTTATCGATTAAGTTTCCCATGTGACATGGGTGTTGTTTATGGCACTCCAAAACAGTTGTAACAGTAACATCAAATATTACTGGGCACAGGTTGCCATAACAAATAATGAAAATTTTGAATTGGGAGAATTATCAAATGTGACACAGAGACACAAAGTGAGTAAATGCTGTTGGAAAAATGGTGCAGACAGACTTGTTCAATGCAGGGCTGCCATAAACCCTTATCTTATTAAAAAAACATGTATCTGTGAAGTAAAATAGAACAAGGTATGCCTGTATACACACACACATATGTATTTACATCTTATCTGGATGTAGATATGTATAGATCTGCCATTTTCCAGATATAAATCTGGTGTGTATATATCTCTCTCTCTCTATATATATATATACTCAAGGCTTTAATAGCTTACAAGTGATTTGCCTTTTAGTCCCCAGGACAAGCATCCCAACTGAAATACAATGTTTATAGCATAGGTGCCATTATCAATAAACATGGTTATACCAAGAGCATAAACTAACATTACTCAGGGGCCTGAACACGCCTCTGTTTCTTACAGTCTGAAAGTGTGTAAGCAGCTCAAGGTGGTTGTAAGGCTACGATGTGATGATAATGCTAAAGGGGGCCCATTCTGGGTCCTGGTCAGGAACCAGAATCAAGAGCCACCAATCATGTCAGGCCCAGCCATAATGGGAATGGTCTCTCCTCCCTGACTCCAGTGACTCTGGAATGCTCCATTTTTGCTTTTACTTCTTCTTCTCCTACACCTATTAGGGTTTTCTACTCCATGTCAGGGTTGTAGGAACAGGGCGCAGGGATAAACAGAAACACCACGGGCCATTGTGTTAAGATGGAGTAAAATGAGACAGATGTGAAAAGATAGATGCAGGTATGTGCATGTGTGCTGTGTTTGTGCTCTTTCATTAAGAAAGAACTTGTGCCATGATGTGATGTACTTTACTTAAGCAACGACTTGTACAGATCACATTGCGTGTATTGTGGGAGAGCAACAGCAGTGAGGAGGGTGAACCAGGACGCAGGATGGAGGTACAGGCTGTTTGGCAATGACGCAGCTCAGAGCTGAGCAGAGAAGCAGGAATTCACTGTCCCAGGACCCAGTGCCAGGTCCATGTGCTGGTAGTACACTCAGATGGCTTGAGTCTGTGTCCTTCCTACTCTACTGCTCCCAGAGGCCCGGCCAAGGGCCACAGGACTCTCGGAGTGGCATTGCTCTCCTCTTTCCACCTTCGGCTTGTTTGTTCATGGCTTTTCTGGCTTACAGCTATTGCCTTCCATCTTTATCCAAGTACCTTTGTGAGCCACTGTGCTGGTTTTGACTATCTGCATTTTTCAAATCTACTAAATATGTATATGACCAACTTGACTAGTTGCCATCAATACAGTGTCCCTGCTGGACAGAGTTCTAACTCTATGGCCAAATCCCCAGGGGTTACATGTACAAAGTGTGGTATAAAATATGAAAAAAACCCAAAACTGCTTACTGCAGTGTTCAGGAGGTGATCACAATAGGCACCCAGAGTTACTTGGTTACTGTCTCCCCACTTTACTAGGCACAATTAAATAACTTTCAAAGTCACATAGATTTTGAGTGGAGCTGTTGCTTGAGAATAATGAATAATGAGGTAATGACCTCCAATCTGTATTCCATTCATATTTTTTAAAGCACCAAATTCAATGAAATATCTGGATAGTTTAATGCAGTCTCAGGTACAGTGCTCCCCACTGTTAGAGAAAACTAATGAATGCTTCAGGACCAAAGATAAGTCTTCAGGATTAGTAATTTGTTTTTAAATTCCATAAAATCCCTCAGCTGATGAGGCCCTAGGCTCTTGTGCAACAACTTCCTGGTGGGCAACATGATATGAGTCACCCGCAGAGATTCGCAAGATCCCTTAATGGAGGAGCAGTGGCCTCTGCAGCACAACACCTGCTTTCAGGAACCTAAAAAGAGGCCCCAAGTCTGCAAATAACAATGAAGCAAATCCAAAAGTTAAGCAGTATAAAACTGAGGAGAAACGAACATACCAAGAAAATTTTATCAAGGAAGCCAAGGAATAAGAATTCTTTCTTTAATCCCTGGAGTCTAAATACTAATTCCTTCTGGTACTCTACTTTTTAAAAATAATCAAGGTCAACTCAATATATTTACCTGACTCATCTGGAATTAGGAACACATTTCTGGTTGTCATCTCTAAATCATCCTGTGACACAGACTGCAGTATCCCTAGGGAACATGTCCAAGATTTGATCTTAGCAGATCCAGAGTGTTCCACGTACTGGAGCCAAGACATCAGAAACTCGCATTGTACTGTGCAGTTCTCCTGTCCTCTTGTTTATTTTATATTATGTCAAGTTAGAAGTTAGATATTAAATGGAGTGTTTTACTCTTTTTCAGGTTAGAGGCATCTGAGAGTCCACATGGGGAAAAGGTATCTCCCATCAGCTCCACCTGCCAACCTGCCCAGGCTGTGATGACCACAAGAGCTTTAAATCCTATGTCTAACAATACTTAAAAATTTTAAAGGGGTAGGTTTTATGTTATGTCTTATCACAAAAAAATTAATAATAATGGTGGCAAGAGAAAACTTTGGGAGGAGATGATGTGTCTGTTACCTTGATGGTGGTGACACGAGAGTATACTTATCCCCAAGCTCATCAAGTTGTATACATTAAATATGTACAGATTTTTATACAAGTCAGTTACACCTCAATAAAATGGTTTAAAAAAATTATATCCTATGTCAATTATATGCTATGTCTGAAGAACATAAAATATTTCACCTGGATATATTCTGGATATAAATTTAAATTATAAATTGTTTGAAAATCATCTAAATAGTGATTTATTATATATGAGTATTGGTCTGCAAAGTGACCACATATTTATAGCTACAAATGAAATGTTAATAAGCCTCTAGTTGAATGAGATCCAGTTTTCCACTGTTAAGATACTTTTTTAGTCCAATCATTCTGTAGCAAAGTAAAGCAGATAAGATGACAGGGGATCTGGAGTAAGACAGACTTCTTTTCAGATCAGAGCTCTAAACAGAGGCATAATACCCAACCTCTTAGACCCTCAGTTTCACGTTTATAAGATGGTAATCACAGGAGTCTCTATTTCATTGTCTTTGTGAAGATTAACTACAAGTACATATGTAAAGCTATTAATAAGTACTTGACAAATGTTAGGATTATTATAATAAGGATTATGATAACATCTTTATAAGTTAACAACAATTTCTCTTAATTTTTAAAAAACCTAATTTAAAGAGAACAGAAGATTTGTTTGAAGGGCATTTTTATGTATTTATATTTAACCACGTATACTCAAAAACTTTCACATGCAGCAGTAATTAACATGCCAAGTTCTGCCATTTTTTCCAGTGCATATTATGACAGACTGTCTAAATCAAGTATCTAATAGCTGTATAGTTACAGTATTTATATCTTTTTCAACTAGTGACTTGGGGTTTGTTTTTTGTTCGCTTGTTTTAGTCACAGTCATCTTTAGAAGACATCATCACATTCATTGCTAAACATTTCTAGGATCAGCAATGCTGGCACTCAATTCTCTTTTAATTCAAAGGAGGGAAAAAAATTTTAAATTTAAAGAAGACACTTTGAATTATGACCCATAGTTTCTTCAATGCATGTAATCACAAGACCTAAGAAAAATGAAGGCTCTATCTTGTTTTGTTGGGTCTTTCAGTGGTCAAGTAAGGAGTGGCACCTTGTATTTTAGAATTTTGAACTAAATACCTTCAGATTTATCTATCCACTCCTCAAGCAAACTCACTGCCCAATCTTCAGTGGACTGTCCTATATTCCTTTCAGGTGAAGCTGGTTTCCAACTCACTTTCTAACTAACAAAGATCATTCATGAGAAAAAAGATAAATAAATGCTCCTGTGTTTCCTGTGCATCTTCCATTCTGGCTCCTCCTGCCCAACCAGGTGAGGGGTTGCAACAGAGCTGCTGCTGGTCCCAACAGGCAGAAAGCTAAAGGGCCAGAGCACATGGCTCCCATGCTCATCCCATCTACGTGGGCCCAAAATTACTCTTCACTTCATTATCAATTCCTTCAAAGAGGGCTTTAGAAACCATGCCAGGCAGTTCAGAATTTATATAGATGAAGATTATTTTGCAAAGAGATTGCAGTGGTTAATTCCTGTATCATAAGAAAACATGCCCCTCTGAACACATTAAAAGGTCTCCAGAGCTGGTTAGAAAAATGAGCAATACTTGATAATCCCTGGTACCCTGCAGAACTTTCTAGCAACTATCTCCTCTTCTCTGTGCCTTCATCAGGTTCTGCCTGGAATCCTCTAACAGTTTAGACGTTTTGCCTACAAGACTTAACTCCTTCACTCCATGCCACTTCTTGATACAATCACCAAGATCTGTCTAAACTGCTAATATAATCATGGTTGCTACTTGACCATCAACGGCTCATTGTCAAGTCAAAGAAAAACTGAACTCCTCAGTGTGGCCTATAAGGTCCTTAATTATCTAGCTCTGGACTCATCTTCCTTAAGTTCTCCCTAATGTCCTGATTTAACTATGACTCGAAACACACCATTATCACTTACATGAGGGTTTCTCAGCCTTAGCACTACCAACATGTGGGGCCCACAATTCCAAGCGTTTTAGGAGTTTGGCAGTATCCCTGGCCTCAACCCACAGATGTCACCAGCACCCCCCACCCCCAAGCCATAACAATCCAAAATGTCTCATGACAATGCCAAATGCCACCTGGGGGTAAAATCACCCCCAGTTGTGAACCACTAGCTCCACTGCTTGCCTTTTTATATGTTAATCTCTTGCTAAAACAGCATCTACATTTCCTTCACCAGTCCTGGAATGTCTCCACTTGGCTAATTCTTCTACTTGCAATTTCAATTCAGCTGTTATCTTTTCCTCCCTACTTCCATGTGGGAGTAATTGACCTTTCTCTGGCTATGATGATACTTTGTGCTTAATCCCATCTTGGTCAAACAGTACTGAACATTTATGTAAGTGCTACTTTCCCTACCAGACTGTCTGTTCTCTGAGTGCAAGGACGGAGTCTCTGACCATTGTATCAGTCTCTGACCACTGTATCAGTCTCTGACCACTGTATCTCTAGCACCTGATGCAATGCATCTAACAAAGCAGGTGCTCAAAAATGATTATGGGATCAATGGATGAAAAGTAAACATAAGCACTCACAATAATCACTGCAGTTAAAAAAATTAAGCAGGCAAGTTACATAAACAGTCAGTGTGATGCTCTCAGGTATTAGAAACATTCTATAATATGAGCTAGCAGAGCTCATGTGCAGTTTTCACGGAAAGATGAGACAGAAAATTAAGATTAAGGAATTTAACTCACAGCTTGTAAGTACCGGAAAGACAAAATGGGGCCACTTAATGCCCTACAGGCATTACTGTCTTCAAAATCTCCTTCTTCAAGCAAGAATTGCTGGCCTTTAAAATGTTCTTTTTCATAGGCAACCCACCTAGAAAAACAGAGGATATCGGACTGAGCTACTGATAAAACTGTATCAAGAAAGCAGGAGAAATACACGATGAAGCACCTAGTTGCACATCATCACATTTTAAAAGGCAATGCATCTGTTTCACTACTGTTTATGAAGACAGACAAATGTTGTACACTTCATAGATCAGTAATTCTTAAAGCTTGGAAGCTTTTTCCCAATAAAACCTTAACTATGGAATTGCAACAGAACAAAGCTCATTAACTGTTTACAGCATGACCTGACACCACATCTCAACTCAGCCAAAAAGTAGTTTGCCAAGTAAGAAACAATGGAAAGCACAACAAGCAGAAAAGATACAAACCCACACTGAGATTCAATGATAATCCTTCTCATTTTCCTGATTAAGCCCTTCTGGAATCACAGAATGATGACTATATTAAACATTTATTTAGGGTTTAAATCAAAGGAACCTCTCACCAGGCTTCAGATTTAAAATACATGTGGGTTTAGCAAAGAGGAACTAGGAAATATGACTGGGCTGGTATTAGCTTGGGTGGCCTAGATATATACAAAAATTTCTGTAAATATGTATGGTGGGAAATGTTGCTCCCACCATTTTATCAGTGGTGATAACAGAAACAGGAAACCCTGTAGCAGAGTACTTTCCAGGGACACAGGTTTCTTGATTTCTAATCTAAAACTATCAGTACAGACACTGATATACACCATTAGTCATTAAAGCTCCTCCAGGAAACTTACCTTTTCTGGAGTAATCCATAGCAGCCAGTGCAGTGTGGGCATAGATGGCTCACAATACACGTTGACCTGCTTAAATCTGCCTTCAGTTGTGATTGGAGTGGGACCCCGCCCAAGGGGGCAGATACCTAGGATGACTACTGTGGGCTACTGGGTTGGAGACTTTTTAATTCTGGAGCTTAATGACATGAAGTTAGGTGGGGCTGACTACCATTGTTTTAGGAAGATTCAAAAAATATTCCAAATAATTGTTTTCATAGGGTACATAATAACAGAAGTTGCTCAGTAATCATGACTCCCTCCTGCTTTCTGTGTGCAGGTGTGCTCAGGGCAGGTGAAGTGGGGGGTGTCCACATGAGCTGAAATAAGCAGAGTTCATACATCATAGTATAGAAACTATCCCTGTTTTATCCTTAAGCTATTATGTAAAAATAAATACACAAGAAAACTTTCAAATTCTGTTTTCTTTTATATAAATGTGGTTACTCAAAACATGCTTTCAATATATCTGAGTGAAAGAATAAAAGGTACAAAAGATCCTAATATTGAAGGACAAATCAGTAAGTTATATAATTACAGTTAAAAAACCTGCACTTTTGTTAATAGATTAAGTTTTGCTAAGATTTTACACACACACATACATACACACACACACACATCCATCTGAGGTATTTAAAAATAGGTGTTATCTGAGAAAAATTGAGAAACATCCCTAGATTTCTCAAGATGGGAGATGAGGAAGAGTCTCTACTACCTACAGATAAAGTTCAACAGTTAACAGAAGTGAATAATGATAAAAATAGTGAAAAAATAAAATTATCAGCTGTTTATCTTTAGATAGGGAGCAACATTTTTTTCTTGCAGTTGTCATAAAAAATTAAAAGTATATTGCATTACAAGCCATATTACCTTGAGATTTTTATAAAATGATTTCAAAAAAACTTAGAAAAAAACAATGCAAATTGCAATCTAGTTAATGGGAAAAACATTCAGATCCCAAATGGAATAAAAGGCAAGAATATTTTATAGCAGGATCATAGAGAACTCTGCAAATAAACACAAGAAAAATTTGTTTATCCAAAACATATTTGTTCTTCAAGCCACTAATACATTTTAAATACACTAATACAAGGAGAAGCAGTTAAATGATTACCAATATGCAGACCAAATGAGGACATGACCAACATATCGAACATTATGTATCCTCTTATATTTCCATTTGGGCTAGTATGTCCATCTACCACTTGATTAGTACCAAAAGATACAAAGTCTAAGTCTCTAAATGGAGATCTTTGAGTCATCTTAGATATGTCATTTAGCTTCTATGAATAACATATTCTAGTGGTATCTTTTGCTAGATTAACATGAACAAGTTATACGATGTTACCTCAACTAATGAGATAGCAATGCTTAAATTAAAATGAATCAACATTCCAGAAAACCCAACATATCAACAGAGAGACCAATAGAATGTTTCTGGAGGGGTTCTAGCACTGGGCTAACAATGGCAACAGGCTATGAGGAAAGCTTCTCCTCTATGATTTTACCTGCCGGAATACAAATACAAAGATACATTCTAGTCCAATCACAGATTTTCTTGGGGCTCCTGTCCCACTAACTGCTAATTAAGACTGGAATACTTGCAATGATGGTTAGTTACGCTTAAATTTATACTTCGATGTCCTATGGGGGCTTCCTCAGAAACAGTACAGGGCTCAAGAGTAACCAATGTCAAAAACCCTTGACTTTGGAAACATACCATCCAAACTACCTCTTTAAAGAGGGAGAACTCACTACCAAGATCCTCGGCACACAAACTCAACTAAGATCAGCAGAATATAGGATAAAAACTGGGGCTCTCATTCATCATCTGGTAAATGAGATAATTAAAAAAATAATAGTAAAAAAAAATTTTATCCTGCCATTCTTATCTTCTATATTATGTTTAGAAATACTAAGTTTTGAAGTTTTAGAAACTATTTCCTACACTTAATCTATCTCAAAATCCAGTATCAACAAGAGCTCACAGAAAGCCATTGAAAACTGCTCTTTTTTTATTTCCCAAAATACAGAAGGGATGTATATTTTTCAGATTAAGGCAGATGTGTTTAAACTCTGCTTAGCACAATTTTTTGTGATTTTCAAAAATAGATTACTAAATTAAAAGTGGAAAATATAACACTCACACTCCACCGATAACACGAATTGATCCAATTCCATGAAAATCACCATCATTTTTAAAAAAATTAGGGACAGAATCTATATGTTCACTGAAGTCTTTGGCCTGTCCACAGAAGTGTGGTTTTTCAAAAATAATAACCTGAAAAATATAAAAGAAAATTACTTACGATGCTCATGTTTTAGAACAGATACATATTTACTAAAGTCACACTAAAAAGACTACCTACCATATGAACAGGGACCACTGTCCATTTCTTAAATTAATATATACTTATAACACATTGGTATTCACAAGGAATGTGAGTGTCATCAAAAAAGTAAAATATTTTAATTAATAACACATTTCTCTCATTAAGATACTCAAGTATGATTACATTGTTCTGATTACCCAAATTCTAGAACCATCTCATAGGGTAAAATGTCTTATAGTTGGTTCTTGAATTATCTTTCTAAGTTTAGCCCTCTGTTTAGGATTTAATACAGATTTGCCTTATATTTATTGAATTTTCCCTACAAAAATAAAAACTTTCTTGAGGTTCCAGGGCATAATGATAAATTATCTATTGATTTGAGAAAATACACGTTGTTTCTTATGACATTAACTGCTTCTATGGTAGTGACTGTTCATTGATAAAAAATAGACATATAAATTCCTGAATTTAAATATACAACTTCCCCAAAATAAGAAATGATTGAAAAAATTGTATTTTTTATTGGATAACAAAATTGATTCAAATGGGGAGGGAGTTAAGTACAGTGGGCAACAAATTACTAGAATTTCATTTATTTCAAAGTTGGCTTGGTACAAGTATTTCTCTTCTACCATTTTGATCCTCTTTCCTTCCCAAGTACAGTCCCTTAGTGTGTGGACATGGTAACAGTGATAATAACACTGATCTATCCACACTATCCCCTTTCACTATTTGTGGCTAATGGCATAATTTGTGCATAACTGGCGACCTATGACCTTGGTGAATAAGACCCCCTGTTTAAACATGCTGAACCAACAAGATATAGCTTCCTTATTTTTAAAAATTGGTAATATTATACAAACTGAAAAAAGTAAGTGCTACTGTTCCTACTGTTTTCTACATATTAAATTTTCCAGATGCTGTACTTGAAGTGATGACATTTTATTTGGGTTTAATAGATGCTACATGAGTTATGCACATTCAAATTAAGTAAAAAGCTGTAATTCTTTTATGAGTAAGCCAAAACTAATATTTAACAACTGTAAAAGTGTGATTGTGATAGCCATTCCATAATATACCTCTACAACCTGTCCTCCTGCAAATGTCCAAGGAAGACCCAGCTTGCAGCACCTGAAGTTCTGACTCAGCGGATGATGAGCCTGAGGGAGCAGTCACTCAGCGGGCGTCCCAGCTAATGCTGAGTCCATTAGGTCACTGATTCAAACCCTTGGCTGCATGTTACAATCACCTGGGAAGCTTTGCAAACTCAGACCATACCCCAGACCAAAACAGTACCTCTGTGAGTGGAACCCAGGCATAAAACAACTCTTCTGTTTTTTTAAACTCAGATATGTATAATTTCAACATAAAGCCAAGGTGTATTAGACACTAAATTTTAGATACTAAGTTTTAGAAGACTCCATCTATGGAATTGAAAGAATGGCAGTCAGTTACGTAAGTGAGGAAGCCCAGGCAAGGAGGAATAGTGACTTGTTTTGGAGAACACGTGACGGACAAACGAATCTCTGTTTCCACACCTACCTCAGGAGGTGTTATGACCTAAATTAAGAGAGGCCTGTGTGCATCTCTGCTCACTTCACTAGTTTTCTTCCTATTTCTTTTTACACATGCTCTATAATTCCATTTCCTTTCCTTTCCCAAAATGTGCTTAAACCTAGCACCACTACCACCCCAATTTCCAGTGCCTCTATGGTTCCTTCCACACACTCATCCTTACGAACCGACATCCATCTGACAGGGGCTACCAACCCTTCCTTCTGATCACCCTTGGTCTCCTTTCTGAGCATCACTCCCCAGTAGACAGCCTGCTAGATTTCTCCACCTGAATGTCTAGCTGTTACCTCAGAGTTCCTCAAACAAAAATCAAACCTGTCACCTTCCCTCCCTGCAATAGGTGCCTATTGGGTTTGACTGGGCCGTCAGTAATAACCCCACTGCCCAGTCGCAGGCAAGGCCTCAGAAATCACCTGTGCAGTCACATCCCATCACCACCACCCATCAACCAGGTGTCATTAGTGTATGTTCAGGTAATTGCTTTTTAATAGTTCAAAATATTTAAAGATTAATACTCAAACTTCTTAGTCTGCTATAAAAGTGTGTTCAAGCCTTACCTTTAAGTTCATAGGCATTTCCACTTTTAGTCCACCCTTAAGATGACAAGAAATTTTAATTTTAGATAAATATTTAAAATATTTGAAAGTAACTGCCATATGTAAGTTATACAAATAATTCAGTTGATGAAAATTATATACCAGTCAGGTTTAAGTTGGGATAAAATGTTTTAAATTTTACATACAGAACTCCACAGTAGTCAAAACCAAGTTAGACTGCTTTGTATCAAAGTAGATGAGGCAAGCAATCTTAAGAATATACTTCCCACATTAAAACCACTACAAAAGGAAACGGAACTTTAGTCCCTGAGCACATGTGACCAATTAAAAGATTTAATCCCATTGCAGAGGGTCCCAAAAAGAAGAGTGGAGTTGCCAGATTTTTAAAATCTTATTTGGCAGAGATATGTAAACCTGTTGATACTAAATTTATTTTCTCCAATTTTTTGGGCTTTCTAAGTTTCCTTTCTAAGTTTTATCAACACTTTTTATCATACTTAATGTCTTTGTGACCTCAAGATTGTAGAACATAAAAAGTAACCCTTTCTCACAGAAACTAATTCTATAATTTCCTGTTTTGAATGCTATCCACACTGTGATAGTTCTTAAAATTTTTTAGTTTTTCCTGGCTTTTATTTTTTTTAAAGGTACAGGCCAAATAAGGTTACATGGGCAATATTTAATTGATTTGCCTTGAAATAAAAATGTTTGCAACAAAAATAAATGAATATATTTCAGGTACTTATCTTTATGAAAGCAACCACTGACAAAACTATTGATTATTATTAAAGCTGAGGTTATCATTCATTACTGCAATGAAGAGTATAATTTACAAGTAATTTTCTTATTAAAAAAACAGAACTTTATTCAAAACTTTCACAGAAGAAAACCATAAGGACACTGCATATATTGTGATGAACAGCATAAATTCAGACATTTGTCCTGTAGAAAACGTTAAAACGTTTTCACAGATATTCTCTATAATGTAAAAAAAAAACAGAAGAACAATGTACCATTTGCTGATTCAGTAGTAGACATATTAATTTCTCAGTATTCATATGCATGTGCAATCATCACAGCTATTTAATTTTGGATTCACAGGTACTTGTGAAAATTTCTTTTTAAATTTGCTTACCATCTGAAGTGGATGCAATGACTTCATTTCTGCTGCAGAAATCTCAAAGAGCCCATGGTCTTCCTCTAAAACTGTAGCTTGCCCCTTAAAATTAATACCTGGGTAAGCAAGCCAACTAAATAAGAAATGAATAATTGGTTAAAATGTAACAGGAATATTTTGGTCAAGTTCTGTATGAGTTGAAAGTAAAAAGGACTATCAAAAAACAAAACACAAAAATCCAAAACCTCCACCACATAATTGTACGAGTAAAGCACATTCAGAATGACTTTGCCAGATCACATATAACAAGAATTAATGTGTTAAGTACTTACATTCAAACTCTATATATCCTATAATAAGTCTATTACATGTTTTCCAAGCACTTGGCATTTCTTGTTAGAATTTTTCAATATTTAAGAAGTATGACACATTTAATTCAAATTCAAGCAGAACACAATTGAAAAACCACAACCATTCCACTATATTCCGTTCTTTTTTAATCTGGGAAGATCAGAGGTAGGGATTCCATCAGGTATTTTACATCTTTGACCTATATACTTGGAATCAGTATCAGTTCTGTTAGCTGCCAAACCAGGCATCAAAGAATGTGTGATTCAAGTCAGTCTGGGACTGAATTAAGACTGAACTGAGACCCATAGTTCTGAGATACCTCTGGAATCAGAAAGGCCTGGCATCGAATCCATGCTTACCAGCTGGTAGCCTGGGACAAATCACTTAATTTCCTCATTTATTCGTGAGAATAGCTCTACCAGCCTTGCAGGAATAGAGGAGTATTAAGCAAAAATGTGACTGTGGAGGCATTCAATAACTATTAGTACAGAGACACTCTTAGAAACAGTTCAGGCTCCAGAATTTTAAGGCAGAGACATGTTTTTATTACTCAGTCCCAGAATTTGGTGGATGTAAAGAGGATGGATGCATTGATTAAGGACCATGTCTGACAATCTATACCTGCTTCTGTGAGTCATACATCAGAGACTTAATTGGATCCAAAGAATGAATGTTTTAATGCCTGCAATAGTCTTTGTTGGGTATCCAGGGATACAAATGCAATTAAGTTTAGAAATTTATATGTTACCTGTTGAAATATGAAATAAAAAGTTAACTGGGGTGACCACCAATCACTGTAATAAAGACAAACTGATACATACATGCCGGAGTTCACAGTGAAGGACACAGATTTGGGGATATTTAGCTCTTCCAAATTGGGGACTGCGCGATGTATGTAGATAGGACAACATGTTGGGTCAGACTGTGGGCAAAGTTCTATCTCTGGAATGCTGCAATCCTGAAAAAAAAAAAAGTTTGGCCTTTAAATCATTTACACACAGTCCAGTATTATTAATACCCTGGGCATGCAGTTACAATTACTGTCATTGCTCAGTTTAATTTCTTCACAGAACAACAGAAAGGAAATACTATTTCTCCTTATCAGTTTTTTCAAAATAAAATTTTTTTGAAGGACTTACACTGATAACATGAAAGTTATATTATTAATTAGAAAAGTATTACCCCAATTCTTTCTGCTTTGTTTTCAAAAGTCTTGTTCCGTGGAGCAATGCTCAAAGTTACCAAACTCTTCAAGTGCTACAAGTCTGTAAACCTTCCTTCTCAGAGGCGTAACAAAGCCATAAGGAGGAAGGGAATGAAATAAAAGCTGATCTCATTGGAGACACAAAAAATAAATAACAGAGAGGCCCTATTTCCTCAGTGTTATCTAATTTACATTGACAATTAAAGGTGCGGGTAAAGGAAATCTGTTTTCCTACTTGTGGTATTCTATTTATTTTCTTTAATACAAGCTGGTTTGAAGAAAGGCATAGGAAGTTTGAGTCTACTTTCCATCACATATCTGCCATCAGCATGTCCTGTCAAGACCTCCTTTTAAAATTTCACTTGTCTATTGCACATCTCTTACCTAGTTTCACAGTCAAAGCCCTTCATCCAGGTCAAAGCTTCAATTATGGGCCTAAACCACCTGTCAAGCACTAGCTACTCTTAATACAGCTGGGCTTGTTAAAACACCACTTTCTTCATGACACTCAAGACTCCCACACAAGTCAGATTTATGTTTGTTTGACTTTCTACAATATGCATGAACCTAGTGATCTATACCAACTCCCCACAACTTTCAGTCATACTAGTATCTATGTTATCTCTACTCCTCACTCCTGGCCTCCATAAGCTTTGTAAATGTTTTCCCCATTGCAACTAAGGATCATTTCCTATATTCTTCCTTAAGAAAATCTTTTAATAGTCAAGTTCTAACTCAAAAGACATCATCTTAGAGAGTCAAAACCACAATTATTTTTCCCTTTTTAGAAATTACAGATGTGCTTCTGTCTGAACACACAATCTAGCTCAGTAATCATGAGTGTCTAATTAAACCACTCAAGTGTCAAGAGCATTAATTCTCATCTACGATATTGTGAAATTCTGCTTTAATGAAACAGTTAAATACAATAACAATCAGAAGTGACACTTATTAGATGGAACAATTTTATTTTTTTATTATAATCAGCTTTGCAATTTTAAAACTGCAAATTTCTGATTTTTTAACGTTTACCCCAACTGAGTTCTCATTGATCATTATCATTCTTATTAATATGTAAAAGTAAAATGGTACATCTTATTTTCAGAAAGTTAGCTCTAAAATTCAACAGTAAAGAAGCATAACCTAAAACATCCTTTAAAGTATAAAACTTTATTTCTTTCTAAAGTCTCATTTCAAAATAGCCAAAAATGTCCAGAACAGTCACCTGTCAATCTTAAAGATTCTTTTGTTTGCTGTTAATAGAGTTCTAGTAACATTATTTAAAATGCTGCCATATTAATGTGCCTCCAGGGATTTAAGATACAGTAAGTCAGAATACATAACTAAGTGTCTCACACAAGTAAGTTTCCTCTGCATTGTGTTAAACAAACAATGTTTGGGTGGTGCACTTTAAAAGGGAAAAAGCTAAGGGGCACTGGAGTTTACCACAACACAGAAGGAAACAGCATAATGTAAAAAGCATGATGACGGCCAAAAAATGGAAAATAAAAATAAGAATGCTATGTTCTCAACTACCTTTACTGGAGGACCAAATTTTTCTCTAGCTGACTGAGAAAAACTTCATGATAAATTCTATCTTTTTCATGGTGGCTAGGATAGGAGAAACAGGGCAGTAATAAATTATAGTTAACCCAAACAATAAGGAGGTCATGTCCCCACCTTACATAAAATACCTTCACTCCCGAATCTAACAGATCTCTCTCTTCTCATTAATGAGGCACAAATTAAGTAACTTCTGAAAGTAAGAAATATTTCATTCCTTTAAAAAGCATATTAAATAGTTATGTGCAATATTCATTTCCTCTATTTAAGAAAAGAAAGCAGTTGACTCAAGATTCACTGCACTGCTACATCATCCCAAATTATTTCCACTAGGAAGGAAGCCAACCCATGAGCAGAATTTACAATCACTGGTAACTGGTGTTATCTTCTGTATCTGCTGTGTCTATTCACAACAAAGTGAAGTATCACAGAAGTACTTTCTGCAAGGAACATTAAAGTTCTCACTATTCAGATTAGAGTGACTAAAAGATGATGAAGTAAGATAAAGTTGGTACAGGCCTAGGTGAATTTGGAATGGTAACCACCACCATGAAATGAAGCTACCAATAGACAGAATTTTGACAAGGCTGGGGAAAGGAAGCAGTTTGACGCCTGATTCTCAGTGTGTAAAATATTTAGAACAATGCTAATGCCTTTTCCATTCAATGCTGAATAGTTTTATTTTCCTTCCTCACTAAATGTTGTTACTGTTTGCTTGTTCAAGGCGTGTGGACACTTGTCATTTTAAAAATGATCCAAAGAACAATGGAAAAGGGGAAAAAAATGCAAGCCTAACTTAATTCTTTCTTATAATATAGTCTAAGCAAATGGCAGATGGGCAAATACTCATTTATATATCCATGCTCAACAGACTGAGCTTTTTGTTTAATTTTATTGCTGTTTGATTTTGGGGTATGAGGAGATTGTTTGCAATAATTTATCCATCTCCCCAACTGCTAGGCCTTGGCCTGGTGCCTGACATTCATAAGGTTCAAAACCCTAAATTACTTAAATCTTAGAAGATTCCACCTATGAACAAATTACTTATTTCAATGGATTTCTAGTGAGTTAGCTAAGTAAATGAACACTCCAGTGCTGCTTGCTGAGCAGGACTACATGCAGTTTTTGAGGAAAACTAGCAATGCCCTCCATGTGGCAGCTGTCGGTCTCCCTGTGGTACCACATGCCACCAATATCCACCTGGACCTGACGCAGTGGCTTTGCCAGGAACTCCCTTGCACTTCCTGTGCCATCTAACTCCTGTTTACTCTCTCAAGGTTCCTATCAGGCGCCACCTCCTCCAGGTGAGGTGCCCCTTCTTCAGGCAAACATAGGTCCCAGAGCAACACCTCTCACCTCATGAGGTCATGGGGTTCAGCTGTTTTATCCCCCAGATGTAAACACTCTTTGGGGATCACATCTCACTTGTATTTCTCTTCCCAGTGCCTATCACAATATTGGGTCCCAAAGCAGACACATACTTAAGACGTGGGTTTGTTTAGCTTTGCAGAAAGTATTAATTCACATAAAATACCTGCAGACACCCCTTTATGGTAATAGGAGTTTTTCTGTAAGTGATCTTTAAATTTTCTATATGCAATCTGCAACTATCAAGAGTTTAATAACATCAATCCAAATCATGATAGGCCTCAATTTATATCTTTTAAGCATATAAACAAAATCTCTGTAACTTGAAAAAAATACATATTCATGGCTGTCATATGAGTAACTGAACTAATGCATGTACTCTTACTCCTGAAGGAACTCTTGAGAATACTTGGGAGAATTCTGTCCGTATATGAGATGTGTCCTGTTTACTCATTCCCTTCTCCTGTAAACCACAACAGTACTTTACACAAAATGTTTTATTATACTGGAAGATCATCCTCATGTTAGTATTAAATAATATTTTCTAAACAGGAAATAAAGCAACACACCTTCCCTTCTCTCCATCGTATTTCTCGAATTTCCCCTAACATTTACAACACACACACACGGTCACACCACTGAGTAGAAATCTATACAAGAAAAAATATCAACTCCTATTATTATTAAAAATATCTATGTATATAGGTTACATTATGTACCATTGTATGGACCAGATTTCAAGTAATATTTTAAATTATCATTCAAAGTAATACTTTTTAAGTTTAAAAGATTCTCATCATTGTGATAGTGAAGATTAACAAAATTAGTACAAATATTAGCAACCATTTCTAAACACTGCTAGCCAAAGTATGACTTTACTATATGACAAAAAAAGTACAAAAAGGGGAAAACCAACAGTTTCGTTACCTTTAAGACACGTTTGATAGAACCCAGTAGAAAGTTTCTTTGTGGATGCTTTCTGTTCTGAAGGATCCAGTCATGATTGAACACCTTTTCCCCTTCTTCTAAAACACATTTCTGACCTTGGAAATGTGGTTTCTCATATAAAATCCAGCTGAACAAAAAGAAATGCATTATCAGTTATAACTAATTTTCTAAGAAATGAGGCATAGAATAGCCACAGACCATCTCTTCTTTAATTTTTTAAATCTATTTTCCATTATTACCATATAATCATATTTTAGAAACAATGACCTATGCTAAATTAGGTATAGACAAATAGTATGTGAAATGTGAAAGGATAAAAGTGCATATAACTTGGAAATAATACTTCTCCCTGAACACAGTCTATGCCTATGCCCATGTATACCTGTATTTTATAGATGTTGTATACACAAAAGTATACATTTATATAAAAAATAATGGCTTAACAATTCCAAATTCCCTTTCTATCCTAATTTTCCTGTTGCTGGGTATGACAGCACATGTCCCATTTTATTACATGAAGACAGCACTATAACATACTGTTTTCAATAAAATACTGACCATGGGTTACTAAAACACTAGACAAAGAAATTCTGTTTCCAGCATGTCCATGGGAAATGGCCCCTAATAACAAATGGGGTTTCCCCTCAGTTTTACACCATACAAAGAATTCTTCACTTCTTGACCATGTCAGCTATACAAATGACTAAGTATGTGGCCTTCACATTCTTAGCATCCCACAAATTTTGAACTTGTTTTCAGAGCTATGCTTCATTCAACTGAAGTCTTCAACTCAACCTGCCAAATCTACCCTACTAATACTGCAGTAAAAAATGGTACTGATTGTATATATTAGGCTTTGCTACTCACTGCTGGCCTTAAGCACTAAAAAAAGCCTAATTTTCTGCCACAGTAAATAAAGAGAACAATTAAGTTATAAAACACCAATCATATTTTAAAATATTCTGTCAAAAATAGACAAAAGGAAATATGATTTTAATAAAAAAATTTATAAAGCATAAATAGTAAGAAACATGCTTAATTTTGGAAAAAAATATGCCATAAATTTTAAGAGATCTCTTACCAGCCCCTTACAACTTTTATTAGTACCCCATTCGGAAAGGACCATGCTGTAGCTTCGGGAATGTCACAGTAGATCTCTTGCTTACATTTACTTCCACGGAGATCATAGATAACCATCTGCAACATATAATAAGTAGACACAATAGCTAATTTTAGGAATGCATTTATAATTCCAAAATGTCCTAACATGTAGAAAATACCCTCAATTCATAAAAGTATTATTTTAGATGCTAAATTTTTGAGCAAAATAATCCTAAATCAATTAAAAGTGTTTACTTAATCCCCAAACCTAAAACTAACCTTACCTTTCGTATTTTACCTTAGTCTCAGAAACTTATGCTTACCTTCCCTGGTCTTGGATTACACTTCAGAGTTTGTCTGTCAATGTTCTGCAATAATAAAAGTGGAAAAAGTAGCTTTAAAGACCATCAATAGATATGTAGTTCACTTTCTTAGTAGTGACATATCCCACTCAGAACATAGAAACATCACTATGTGCAAGGTATGCCTTCAGGTACTACAAGGGATATAAAGATTAATATAAAGGAAAATAATGTGTTGTCTCTGCCCTCAAGAAGCTTATAGCCTAGATGGGGAAACAGATGATTACAGTCACATGACTCTTTCAAGTGGAGGACTGTTAAACCACCAGGTAAAATACAAAGAAAACACCAGGTCGTGGAAGTCCAGGGAACAGCACCAGAGGGAGGCAAGGCGATGGCACACGGGGCCCCCAAGAGGCTTGTCTGAGGAAATGATACCCAGGAAACCTTGAAAATCGGCACAAAAATATGGCAGCTGCGGTGGGGGTAGGAGGGAAAAAAATTCCAGGAAGCAAACATCTGGAGAACAAGTATGGTGGTAAGAAACCAGGTTATGTAGCAAGAGGTTGGACAAACAGAACTGTGGGGCACTGTAATAGAGTAGAGAGGTTCCACTCAATTTGGTCGATAATGGGGAACCACTGAAGAAACATTTCTTCAAATCCCACCCTGTCTTTTAACATGACTTTGCCTTACAAGCTATTGGTTGGTTTTCAAGTATTACTATTTGTTACTAAGGCTCTTCAAGGTAGAGATACAAGGCCTCGGGAATCCCAGAGAAAGTTCCTTGACCTTGGGAATGCTAGGAGGAGAGACCCATGTTCAATGAATATTCTGTATCAGACATTTAAATAATTTCTAAATCAAAGAAAAATGTAACTGAATTTCAAGACATTTTCCCAGCTGTTTTCAGCTTTTTCTTTGAATTAAAAATAAAAAGTAAATAAAAAACTAAGCTGTTCACTGCCTTGCATTATATGAACACAAGCAACTAACAGGAAGAGGTTGTCATCAAGCAAATGCTTCAGAGATTTTTAAATACTGAAAATCTTTTTAAATATTACAAAATATTTTCATGAGACACAAAAGCTCAACAGAAAGTGACTATTTCTGCACATACAGTACCTTGAGAAATGCCCAATGTTGTTATTTAATTTAGCTCGAAAACTAAATATTAGCCAATACTGGTAAATAACTTGTTCTTATGTCTTTCAAATTCTGACTAAGCAATTTTGTTCTCTCAATATAACATGTCCAGCTAAAATACATGAGTTATGATACACTTCAATCAACAGATAAATTAAACTCAGATTTTTTAAGACAATCTTTATACACCCTCAAACTCTGATTTTCTTAAGCTTCTTTTCATAACTCCAAAGCACTACTTCACTGGTTAATAATCAAAATAACTTACCTCTGTGAATGGGTTTAATCTGTCTGAGTTGTCTTGAGTACAGAAATATTTTGATCCTGGTTCCTGAAAAATCCCACCAAATCTGGCTCCTTTTTCAGAGAAATGGGTTTTGGAAGTCTGTAAATACTGATGGTAAGCACTCTTTAAAGAAGAATGTAGTTTAGAAGCAAGGTCAGATTCTTGTAGAACTGAGGCCTTTACTGGCCACAGACCAATCTGCGGACTGGAGGTAGCAGGTTCACTTGACATTACACATGAATTCTTAGAAATTCCAGTCCTTTCCTGGTTATCATCAGGATAAAATGTGGTGGAAGGATCTGGCAGCTGGGAGGTAACAGTTTGCCTCCTTCTAGCTCTTACGCTTCCTTTATACAATGGCTCGTCTTCCTCCTCCTCCTCTTCCCCTACCTCCTGTCTGTCTTCATCAAAATTCATCTTTAAGCGCTCTGATACGGACTGCAGAAGTGATAACACAGAAGAGGGCTGGCTTGCACTCTCTCTTGATTTTGTGGAGCCATAATGGCCAGGTGAGGCCTCACAGGAGAGAACGTCCTCCTGAGAGCTGTCATCCTCATAAATGGGAGACAAAGCTAAGGGATAAATTTTGTACCTTTTGGCCTCCACTGATAACATTTCTGAACTATCACTATCAAATGTCTCACCTGATTTAATATCATTTTCAAAATGATAGACGAGGTCTGTTCTACTCTCAGACCTTTCATATGTGAGAACAGGCATGCTATCCACAGATGCATCAGAGAATGTGAGTGAATGTGTTCCTACTTCTGCCATAGCATACTTGTCCTCATCCTCAAGAGGTTCTTCATATAATATAGTAAAAGATGAATTTTCTTGTTCATCCTGAGAAATGAAGGCTAAGTTAGAGTCTTCGTTTTCATCGCCATAATCAAAATCCCTTCTCTTGTTATTTACTGTCATAACAGACGTTCTCTTGTCTGGCCTTCTTATGGAATCCTCAGGTTTAAAGTCTGGCACTGCTAAGGCTGGGTAGCCCTCATAGTCCCTACTTAATGTAGGCGATTCATACCCCCTGAAATAGGAGGCAAGCCTACTGTCACAAGTTATCAAGCCTTCCTCAGTCTCAGTGGGCTCTTTCTCCACTCCTCCAACACTCCCTTCAGGGCAGCACGGGGGTGCATTCTCAGCTGCAAACGCGGGACACACAGTCTCCGCTTCTGTGACGGGCAATCGCACAACTGTTCTATATGCCTTCTCAACATTTACCATTGTAGCCAACACCGTGTGTTTCCTGATGGTGCCATCAGAATCTTCTGGCGATGTTCTTTCCATTTCTCTCACAGAGGGCATGGACATCACCATTCCAACTGTCTCTTCAGTCTCTCTCTGGCATGCTTTTTCCATCTCTGAGGAGACATGTACCACCTTCTCGTGTGCTTCTTTCACTTGTGACACAAAAGGTACCCTTTCAGCTGTCCTGCCCACTTCCATGTTCTTTTGGTGCACGCTTTCCATTCCTAACACAGCTCTTTCACCCTCTCCAGTGGTCATGATCCCCTCTGCATCTCTTGGGTAGATATTTGCCACTTCTGACATAATGGGCGAAACCTCAGGCTTGAACCTATCTCCATCAGCATCCTTTGGGCAAACACCTTCCATTTCTAACATGACAGGTGTCACCTCAGTCTCTAAAATATCCTTCTCAGCATCCTTTGGGTAAGTATCTTCCATTTCTAACATGATAGGTGTCACCTCAGTCTCTATAATGTTTCTCTCAGTGTCCTCTGGGTAAATATCTTCTAACGTAGCAGGTATCATTTCAGTCTTTTCAGTAATTCCTTCAGCGCCTTTTCGGTAGATATTTTCCATTTCTGATATAACTGACGTCACCCTGGTTTTGCCAACATCTCCTTTAGCATGTTTTTGGTAAATACTTTCCATTTCTAATGTAACAGGTGTCGCCTCTGTCTTTGCAATGTCCCCTTCAACATCCTTTTGGTAAATATTTCCCATTTCTAATGTAGCAGTAATCACTTCGGCCTTTCCAGGAATTCCCTCAGCATCTCTTTGGTAGATACTTTTCACTTCTGACATAATTGGTATGATGTCAGCTTTGTCAATATTCCCTTCGGTGTCCCTCATTTTAAAAGCTTTTTCCACTTCTAAAATGGCAAGTAGTCCCTCAGTTTTTTCAGTATCTCTCTCAGCATCCATTTGAAACACTGCTTCCATTTTAAAAATGTCAGTCATTGGCTCAGTTTTTTTGATACCCAATTTAGCATCTTTTTTATGTGTTTTTCCCATTTCTGACATAAGAGGAACAGTATCATATTTCATAATATTCAATTCAGCATCCTTTTTGTTTGTTTTCCCCATTTCTAACATGGAAGGTATGTGCTTGATTTTTCCTTTGTTTACTTCAGTATCCTTCTTGTGTATATTCCCTATTTCTGACATTGCAAGGGGTATTCTTTTATTACTGTGTCCTGGAATGCTTTTTTCAGATATATCTACAAGACTATCACACAAACTGCTTTTGGAAGTCCCAGGTACATGTATGTCATCATTTGCAAGTAGAGGCCATTTGAAATTTAACACAAGAGTCCTTATATCCTCTGTCGCGGTTTTGTGATTACCCACACACTCGATTTCCTTTTTCTCCTTTAAGTCCTCTTTGAGAAATGAATGTGCTTTTACCTTATCATCAAACCCTTTGTGGGGTATCTCTTTGGCTAGTAAAACAGTCTCTGACTCCTGCAAATTTATACTATCAGACTTTCCAGCTCCACTTACAAGAAATGGGGATTTTTGGTACAGAACAATTTCTCTCCCTTTAATCAACTCTGTGTCATGAACCAAGTTACTTAGAGAGATGAATCTATGCAATACCTTATTTTCACTAATTTCACACATGCCTTGATTTACTGCCTGCTCTGACACCAAGAACTTTCTTACTGTGTCTGGCGGCATAACACTAGCATTCTTCAGAATTTCTGAAGTATTAGCCTGAAGTTCAGAATCCCAGGTATCCTCAGTAGCTTCAAAAGCACCTTCTGTCAACATTTCTTGGGCTGAATAAATAATCTCATCGACTAATTCCCTAGCTCGATCTTCTAACAAACAAGGTACATTCCTTCTATCAGAAGCAAACAGGAGACTCTTCTCACCAGTTGTAGGTGAAACACAAGCCTTTTCTTCTCCTTGGACTTCTGACATGTTTTCCAGCTCCTGCTTTTCCAAATGTTCTGACAACTGGATCTCTGTCAAAGTTGTTTCTGATGAGTTTTGCTCAATAATGTCTTTTTTCAGGGTTCCTGGATTCATTACGCTGTCAAAGGCTGTATGTTCCTGGCAGGTATCAACTGTGTATTTGGATTTTAGTTCTTCCCTGACAGAGTTAAAAATCTCACTTATTAATGTATCGGCCTTTCTAAGTAAACCACTGCTGAGGTCCACAAGCTGGTCACATGCTCTTCTCCTTGATTCTGTGTGCTCAGCAGTTACTTCAGAACACTGCTGGCTGGAGCTATTAACTGATGCTGGGGCCTTAGCAACTGCTCCAGTCCCTTCTTCCATGTGATTGGCAAACTGGACAGCAGTTGAGAAATCAAGAGGTACCTTCCCAGTATGATTCCCAAAATGTTCCTGAAATGGGGTCACTTCTGCACCTGTTGAGAAAGATGTTTCAAATTCCAAATAAGGGCTATTAGGGTATATCAATTTAGTTAAGGAGGCACCTTCATGAGTGACATCTATGGCAACTTTTGCAGAAACAAACATATTTTGGGAATTATGTGGACTTGTAACCATGCTAACTTCATCAGAGTTACTAGAGGAAGAAGATGAGCTATCAATACCACCACTTAGGAACTGAGTGTTCTCTTTCTTTCCGTGAGACAAGGCTTTCTTTTCTGATTTCAGCACAGAAGGAACATTATGAAAACTTGAATCCTCAGATGCAAAAGTATTTCTTTCCAAACTGAAATCAGAACCCAAAAAAGGTAAATTTACTTTTGTGCTGTCAGTTTCTTGGAATTTTGGAGAAATATTACTTAAGTTGAGTTCTGCCATTTCTGAGAGGCCAGAAATCCTTTTAGTCTCACAAATATCTGAAGGTTGACAAATCACACAGGTGTTGGCTTCCAACTTTTGTGCCATTTGTCTATTGACTTTTTCATCATAAACAGGAGGTAAATTCCCAAATATATTACTTTTGAGAAAAGCAGGAAGATAACCTGAGGCTTCTCTCTCTGCTACCTGTATACTCTGATATGGGGGGGCAGGAGGAGAAACCTCAGTTTGGCAGTTTGGATATTTTTCTTTAATGTCTTTATGACCCAGTGATTGAAAGCCTTTGTCTTGTTCAACTTCTAGGGAAGTTAATTCTGATAAAACAGGCTGTCCTGGTACATCTGTGATTTCAAATGGAGAAGAAATTTTATCCTGAGGAGAAATGTCTCCGGGCTCTGTTTGGGAAACAGGCAGCTTGGAGAGGGCTATAGCCTCTCCTCTTCCAGAATGAGACTCAACAGGAAAACTATTCTGACCATCAACTTTTACTTCTGATGGAATGTTAGCAACGCCATGAGTTTTGATTTCCAAGGAAAGAGAATCACACTTCTCTATGGTGCTCTTACTTGCTTTTGTGTTTGAAAATATTAACTCTGCTTTATTAGTGTCTTGAGATGAAACAGAACTATGATCCTTTGAGATTTCAGACTCAAATCTTGAGTCCACTCCAGTTACATGGATGTCACTGGCTTTAAGATCTAGTGGAACTTGGCATTTTTCACTATCAGGAAGAACTTCCTTGGATTCAGGAATTGTAGATGCATGTGTGAGGTGAAGGCAAGCAGGAGTAGTCCTGTCTGCAGCTTCAGCATGCTTTGCCATATTTTCCTCCTGACACTTACAAGGCTGTTTGGAAATACCAGCAGAATTGACATTTGTGGTTTCAATGAGCAGAGAAGAACCTTCATTCTTTAAAACTGGAATATCCAACTTGCCCAGCATGCCAACTCCAGAAACAAAGGTAGGAGATGATGAAATATCAAAATTTGATTTTCTACAGTCAAGTGTAAGAGATGTTCTGGCATCAGGTGATACTCTGGCTAGCTGAAGGCTCTCAGAGTCAAGAAGGGATTCTGAAATGTAATTTGTATTTAGTCCAAAATTCAGTTTAGGTGCTATATTATTTTTAAAACATGATACCCCTGCTGATTCACTGGTGTGTTTTACAGAGGAAGGGTCCTTTTGATTTATTTCAATAACAGGAGGCATTTTGCCATATGGCTTAAAATCAAGCTTTTTGGCTTCTGTTATAAACACCTGGTCAGTATCTTTGGGTAATGATTCAGTTCTCTCTTCTGTAGCTCTTACATAACTGGAAGTTAGGGGTTCACCAACTGGGGTCCTTTCTGTTTCTTGCCTGATTTCTGTAAGATCCAAATTCTTCTGTGAGTCTCGGACAGACAGCTGACATTCTTCTTTTACAAGTTCTTTGTCTGTCACAGAATGACTCTGGGGGGCAGTGGTGCTGCTGTGACTGGCAACCTGGTTTAGTGAGTTATCTACAGTTTGCCTCTCAGAACACTTACTCTCTGGCAATTGCAAATCTTCAGGCCTAACTGATTTATTTGGACTTGACAAATGTACACTTCCCTGTTTGGCAGTGTCACTCCCACCAGACTCAGAGCAAGAGAAGTCACAGGGGGCAGGGCACTGGGGCTCACCATGCTCCTCTCCTCGCAACAAAGTCCTACCACTTGCCACCGAGCTGTTTGCTTTTATTGTAGTTCCTGTCATCGTTATCCTCTGAAAATCTGGACTGCAAGGAACTTTGCTGTTACTTTCTGTGAACAATGCCGAACCTACCAAATTTCTGTCAGTCTGAGAAACGGGTGCACAGCTTAAGCAATGCTGTGAGTCAGATTCTCCAAGAGTGGAGCTGGAGTTAGTCACAGAAGAAGGGGATGACCTAATTTTCTCAGTTCCCCCAGGATCATTTTTATTTAAAACATCCTTAGAAGAAGCAGTATTCGGCAACTCTGACTTGTTTGCCCGATGGCTTTCTGTGTTGAGATTTATGTCAGTATAATCAGTGTCTTCTAACAGGCCTTTGAGCAAATGTCCTTTCACAGATCTGTCTGTGCCAGCTGATGACAACGACGACTCCTTCGCAGCCTCAACCTCACTTCCAGGGCCAACATGTGCACTCGTACTAGAGTCACAACTTTCATTTTCTCTGTTCAAGGGATTCACAGATTCCAGTGCAGTTTGGGGCTTCGAATATTTCATTTGTCTGGGACCTCGATACGTTGCATATGTTACTGAAGGCCTCTCTGGTTTACCATCTGTTTGTCTGCAGAAAGAAATAGCACCAAAGTATCAGAAAATATAATTACTAACAACATTAATCCCAGAAATTGTGGTGAAGTGTATTTTTCAAAATACTCCTACTTCTAATATGTACCATTTTGAGAAGGAGCTCCTAGGATGTTTTAAATACTAAAAATAATAATAATAAAGACTTGGTAAGCAGTATGTGACTGTCAAGGCAGCATGAATGTTTGAGCTTCTTACCTGATTATGCATGTCTCTCTCACCATGCTTAATGGCCAGACATGGGCTGATGAGTCTGAGGCTTGGATTCTAGCTATAACCTCAAATGAGGGTTTGACTGGAAGGGATCACATTGCCTTTGTGTCTCATATTCGTGTAAGTTTATAGACACATCACTGATTTCTCTACTCTCCCAGAGCATCATAGTGAGTGTTTTTTCCTTTACTCTTAGATGCGAATTTCTATAGCAACATTTAGCGAAGAGGTGAAGAAGTTTCAAAGGAAAACACCTGATAATATGTCTAGGCCACAGTAAGCACTCCGTATATGTTTGCTAATTCAGTAAGAGACAGAATTGCCTTAAAAATCCTCTTTTGTGTTAAGTTCTTCAAATATTCAATTACTGTTGTGAGCATTAAACTGCTTGGGTAAATGCAGCAATCAAAAGAGATTTCTGGAAAAAGTTCTCTACTTTCTCAACCTCAGCATAAAGTTCCTGATGCTCTCAGTATCCACCTTCCTTTGAAGAATCTGTTTCTGGGAGTTCTCATGATGTGCACTGCTGCCTTATAGTCCTTTACACACACGGTTCTCTCCCCTTTAATTCCAGCCTCAGAAAGAAACCCCAATGTCTTCTCAGACTTAGCTCACAAGTTATCTCCAATGCAAATCCATCCCAGAGCCCTTTTATTACTAAATGGGCAGTTAGCCTCTGATTTGTGGGTGCAAAGGACCCTGAGCACAGCATTTGTCATATTAAATTATGAAGATCTATGTACTTATTTATTTTCTCCACTAGCCTGATAGCTATTTGAAAGAAGGTACTATATCTTAATCATCTTTGTATTTTTAAGTACTTCACATAAGATTTAGCAGATGGTATATGTTTTTGTGAATTTGTGAATAAGTAAAGCAATAATACTAAATGTTAGTATGCAATTTATTTCAGACGATCTTAATTCTTATAGATGATATAAGAGTTACAAATTCTTAATTTTAGTTACATTATAATGGCCTGACTACATAAATGTTTAGCAGAAATTTGATGTGTGTTCTAATTTTTTCAGATGAAATACAATTAACAAAAAATTATAGAATCCATATGAATAACCAAGAAATCTAGTTATAAGTATTCCAACATTTAAAATAATATATTGTCTCAACTTTAAAACGTAATATTAAGAATGTTAGATCTGTCTAAATGATAAAACAAAAAGTCAATCTCCTTTGACATGTAAAATCTTCATCAACCAAGACCCTTAAATATTTCTTGAATTTTAACTGAAATAATTTATTTCAATCTATATAATTGCTGGCCCCTAAAACCCTACCACACCACTATGGTAAAAAAGTGTATTAGTTATGTTCATTTGTTTTTACTGTCCATTATAAAGCAGCTAAAGGAGATATATAGAGAAAAATCTTCGCCTTATAAAAGTGATTTTAGCTGCTGCATGATTTAAGGCAAGATCAGGCTGTTAGAAAACAAACTCAAAAACTAGATAAGCAAACCTATGAAAACACACGAGAAAAATACATATTCATAAATTAATGTTACTGGTAAAATCCCATATCAAAATACAGAAATTATTCAGAAAATACAACAGCCTTTCAGAGTAACATATGAAGATTCAGAAGTCTGATTAAATGACAAGTTTTACTGTTTGTTTTTTCTTTCAAAGCTTCAATATTTCATACTCAGAACCCACTTTCAACAGGCTTCACTGTTTGTTCTTAAAAGATCACCAAAATAATTCTAAACAAATACACAAAGAAATGTACCCAGTATCTACATAAACAGGAAATGAGATGAAGATCAGAATCTTATTTTTCAAGTATAGGAAACTTAGGTTCTCTTACTACCAACTCCTTCCTCACAAGACCTCAGGAATTTTATTCTATAATAACCCAATAATGCAACTTTTGATCTAGAAGGACTTCTAATAAGATAAAGCACAGAGAAAAATCCATTAAATTCCAATTCGCTGTAATAGTGCCTTTTGGTAGTTTTGAAATCCTGTTGGGGGTGGGAGGGAATCACTATTTTCCATTTTTTAGGGCTTTCTGGGTACTTACCATTAAAATTATTAAATTGATTCATATGAACTAGTTTTAAAATTCTAACTGAATGATCACTTACAACACCATGGGTAGGAATGTTACACACTTGTAACTAAAAAAATGCATCCTTAAACAACTATATTATCTTTTCTTATCCCCCTTTAATTGGATTCCATAAAGAAATCAACAGAATGTGAATATAAACCTTAAGGCATTTTTGTTCCCAAAATGCACATACTGAACAAATTACTGTCTTAATATAGTAAGAACTCAGACAACACAAAACACTCTCATTCAAGGAAATTTTAAATTAGAAATAAATCTTGTACTATAACAACACCTAAAAGTTATTAGCACCACTCCCTAAAAGAGCTCAAGGCCCTAGATTACATATATGGGTACACAGACTCATATGTTTTACCTAGTGGCAGGGGCATTACAGAATATTGTTTCCAATCCCTTAAGTTAATAGGAATAAGGCTCAAAAGCTAGGTCCAGAAGTTCAGTTTTTTGACTAAGTAAATTTAAACTTACTTTAGTAAATCACTGGTTTCCTGTTCACTGTCCTGTGATGTATTCAAAGAAAAGGCATCTGAGGAGTGTTCTGTTGAGCTGGACTCTTGTTGTGCAGGAAGCACACTGGCTCCCAGGGAGCCACTGAAAATCTCCCTCTCTCCTCGGATCCCTTCCCCAGGATGCTCGCTGGGATCTCGTAAACCTCTCTCAGTTTTGTCATGTTCATCTTTCAGAGAAGGCTGCTTGGCTTCACCAACAGATGATTTCCCTGAGATATTGAATAAGTTACCAAGAAACTGAAAAAAGCTCTCCTTTGGCTGTCTATCGCTTTCTCCTCTTCTGGTACCTGCAGTGGAACTGGAAAAGTCACTTGGCTCTCTGGAATCTTCCTGCGATGGATGAGTGGTTAGCTTCTCAGCTTGGTTCCTCCTGTTCTCACTCTGGGGAATCTTTGAAAACAAAAGAGAAGCAGCAGCATCATTTTAAAATAACAGATTGACTGATAACCTATTATGTGACACTCTGTGCCAGACGCCTCACAAGTGGGATACACTTGTGACCAAGACAGATGGCTTCTGATCCCTTGGGCACTTTCCAGTCTGCCGAATGCACAGTGAGCCCAATTTGAAGCAAGCTGTACAGTAACTTCACAAAGGGAGAAGGAAACACACACAGGAACCCAGACAGGAGTAACTAGTCTGGATCTGGTGGTGGCGAGAGCACCAGAGGCTACCTCAGCACGTTTCTGGAGGACGTGCCCTCTGAGGAAGGCCTAAGCGTGACTCAGTGATGCCTGCACATCTCCCTCCCTTAGTCCTCTCCCCCACTTCTCCCCATCTCTGTGTTTAGTGAGGTGTCAGCTTCTGAGGAGTGTAATATGACTGGAGGTTAGAGTATAAAATGAGAATGAGAGGTAAGTACGCAGATAGTAGTAAAGGGACCAGTCACGGCAAACCTTATGTACACTCAAATTTAGCCTTTATTATTACACATTAGAGAACAAGTAAACAGACTTCATCACTTAAGCACTGTGTTAACCTGTAAAGCCATCACACTGTGTAAAACTGCTCCTCAAGAAGATGATGAGTGACAGCAACATCGTGTGTAAAGTCAGAGAAGTCCACTGTTAACTCTTCATGGTAAAACTCAAAGTCCTAATATGTGCCTTAATGCAACTTGGGGAATTTTTGGATATTAAAAACTTCCATGGGTGCTTTTTATGGCTCACAATTAAGTTACTAGTAAAGCACATTCACATTCATGTGCCCTCTGTGTGAGGAAAGACTCAGCTGCTATATCAAAGAGCTGGCTGGCATTCTATGTCACGCTCCTCCCTAAGAGCTTCATTAGCTTTAGGCCAATGTGCCTACTTACCCGGCCTTCCAAACATGCTCACTCACCCACTTGTAAAAGGAATGCACATCCATCACTATCTGTCATATGTCACACTCACTAGTCCTTATAAAAAGAAAGCTCAAGTATGAGTCAGAAAAAGACCAGGACACCAAGGTAAAACCACCCAAGGGCACTGTAAGTTCACATGACAGTTTTGTAGGAAGCTAATCGTCAAAGGCAAGTGAATTTTAATTATAATATCATTTGTTCCCCTTGTTCCATGTTTTCATCCAAATTCAAAACAGTTTAAAGGAGTGTTTCACTAATAAAATTTAGAGCATGAAAAGTTGAAAAATGTTTAAAACCCTTTAGGCCTAGGAAATTAATTTCAAGCAAACAATATTTTCAGTTTGCTCCCACCTTAGGAGTTGAAGGACAATTTTAAGTAAATGCATATCATTTTTCTGTGTTAGAACCCTAATGTATCTTGTAAGTCTCCACATTTGGAAAATCACCAGTCTTGTAGAGGCACTCACACACTCTCACCTTTTACTGGTTCCAACTTCAACTTGATCCCATTTGCCTCCACCTCACCCATCCAAACTTCTGCTTATTATAGGAACCTGCTCCATAAATTAGCTGCACTCTCCTCATATAAACAGCATAAATATCTTCTCAATTTGCCAGAAGATATGCTAGTTGACATCTTTAAAATACTCATGTGTGTAAAATATACACATTTTTTTGTTCTTTGCTTCTTTTAATTTGCTGTCATTGTCAGCCACAGTATTGCTTCTGAGTCAAAATGAACTAAGACTGTTAACATGAACAGAATAGTGATTTTTTTCTATAACTAGTACGAATGACAACTCATTGTGAAGCTGCTTGAAGAAGTGAACCACAAGCTACTTATTAAAATATCATAAATATTCTGAAGATGCTTTAGAGATTCATGAGAGTCTTACAAAATTGGGGGCAATGGTTTAAAAGAGGAAAATTAAGAGAACATGGAGATTACATTGCTTGATATCAAAATGTCAGGACAAATAATTTCTGTCAAAAATATTATTTATTTCAGTGTTGCAATTATTATTTTTACTTGACAGCTCCTTTCAAAACATGAGACTGCTTTCTAAAGAAGGAAAATGCATTTTGCTACACTAGTGAAAGCCTTCACATTAAACATTTTTAGTTACATAATTAAAGAAATTTTTGTTTCTCCTTCCCCTCAATTTTCAGCTTTGCTATTCCAGAATCTTTATATCTTCAGTTTATGGAAGAGCAGTTTTTTCAGTTTCCTTAAGTGTCTTAATTGCTTAATTCTTCCCTACTAATCTTATGAGAAATGTGTATCAGTAACTAAAATACCATCAACAACAAAGTAACTAAATTTAGAAATAAAAACTAGAAAAAAAGAGCACTGCTATTCAAAGTAAACACAATAAACTGTGCTTATATAATTACATTTCTAAGTCTGATATAAAACAGCTGCTCTTTGCCCTCAGCCTAAACAACAGTAAAGTTCAGCTTGCCACAAGCGTGGGCCATGTTGCCTGCCAACAGGACAGTCTGCCATTATTCTAACAAGTGGGTAGAATGAAAGCCCTCAGGATCCAAGTAAACACTAACAAAACATCGAATCCAGTTGCTCTCAATTCTGTATATTCTGCATATAACATATACGCTACTGATGAAGGCATATGCATATTAGGAATCTAAATATTTTTCTCTTCATACTCAGTATGTTGTAACGCAGTGCCCTTCAAATTCATTCATCTATCTAGTCTCTTTGCTATGTGTCCAATACAGGGAAACACAGGAAAACATTAGGTACACTGATTAAAAAGACTTAGCTGTGGCTTCAAGAAACTTACAGTCTAGCAAGATACTCAAACTTACAGTCTAGCAAGATACTCATCACTGTATCACTGTGTGTTGCTTAGAAGGAGCACATAGTGGAAGACACAACACAGTGGGGGACACAATTAATTTGACGAGGGCTGGGAAGAATCCACTGCATATAGGAGGTGACATTTGAGCTTGATCCTGAGGGTGAGAGGAACACTCCAGACACAGGAATAGCAGGCACAAAGACACACAAGTGTGATGTTTATTATGGCAAGAGTGTGGCTGAAGAAGACAGGCACACATAGGACAGAGAGTGATGTTGATAAGATGACCAATTAAAAGCAGAAGGGGAAGGATAGCAAAGTCACAGATGACTAAATTCTCTAAGTTGGGCAACTACTTGAGTAGATAAGCCAAAAATGGATACAGGAAATAGAAGGAGAGGTGAGATTAGGGCCTCTGTGGGGGTGTGGGGAGGTAAGGCAACAAACTATTTAGAAGTCAAACATGTTGTATCTTTGGTCCCGATGATGTACAAGTTGAAGATGTCTGGAGAGCAGTCATAAGCACAGTTGAAGAATGCAATGTGGCAATACACAGTGTGTGCAGAGGGAAGGGGGAGCATTATAGAATGGACGATTAAAAAGCAAGCACAAAGGAGAAGAAATCAGTGTGGGAGATGAGAGGGCCAAAACCAGACCAAGACATCCCCCCCAGAATCCCGGCCTCCAAAGGCAAGGGACAAAGAGCGTTTCCAAAGGTAAAGGGGAATAAATGCCAAATGCCACTGTGAGGTCAAGGAAGATGGGGAAGGCCCTCACTGTTCTTTGACATTAGGCACACTTGTACCTCAGGAGTTGTGCATCTCCTCTTCTCTCTGCTCAGAATGTTCCCCAGAAGGCTGTATGACTCACTCCCCCTCACCTCCTTCAGACCTTAGAAGTCATTTCTTCACTGAAAGATTTCCCAGGCACTCTACCTAAAAGAGTTAATTTTTCCACTCTGAAATTGTCTATGCCCCTTCTCTGCTTTATTTCTCTCCTCTGTACTTGCTAGTATAAAATACTCATACATTTAACATCATTTAATATGTTACTTTCTCTAGAAAGTAGAAGTCACAGGGCAGGGATTTCTGTCTGTTTTACTCTTTGCAGCAACTTGATGTGCGCCTGACAGTAAGAGGTGTTCAAATAACTGTTTGTTTAACAAATGAAGGGATGAGGACTAGAGAGAAGCCCTAGGAAAGCAAGGGAAATACTTGTAACAGCTCAGGAATTTGAGAGAACAGCCCCAAACTCAAGGTGTACTGCAGTGGGCAGGTAGCCAGGAAATAAGGACAGTTAGCAAATAGAAGGGACACATCTGAGAGATTTTTTAACAAGAAGAAAAAGAGAAAGACAAAATAATAGTTTAAGGTCCAAGACAGAAGATAAACTTTTTGTTCCTCTTTTGTGGATCAGCTCTATACCTGTGGGAAAGGGAGTAACCACTGAACAAGAGAGAAGGATCACAGGTTCCAGAAAGAAAAGCAGAAGGTGAGATAGAGAAACAAATATAATCTCTAATATGTCTAATAAAGGGAAAGATTATATATATATATATATATATATCCTTGGAGAAGAGTAGGGACTTTTCCTTTTCCAAGGAAAGTGGTGAGGAAGTGGCTAAAGCCTGAGCAATTCTGTAAGTGGAGAAGACAGTGAGCAAGGTCCGTCCGGTGGCTCCGACCTCAGCACAGTGAGATGAGCTAAAGGAGGGAGGTAGAGGTAGAGCTGGGATTTGGGTTCCTGAAGCAAGAAGACTTGGAAGAGTATTTCTGCAGAAGGCGGTAGGAGGCTGAAACCAGGTGTACAAAGTAGTTAGGGTCACTGTAAACTTTTAACATATTCATTCATTCATTCAATAAATAATGAACAGCAGGATAATACTTCAGGTGCTTAGGTCCAACAGTGAAAAATACACCAACAGCCCTGCTTTCATGAAGCCTATATTCTAGTGATATAAGAACTCATTTGCAGGTTTAACTGGCATTATTTTGCACCTCCCTGAGTAGCCTATAGCAGGTGGCAGATGCTTTCCCAACGTGGTGACTGACACAGGGAACAGGGTAAGAGAATGCTGCTGGAGTATGGTGAGTGGGAAATAGTGAAGAGTCAGGTGACTTCTCCTTTACAGCCTCAATCACGTGGCCCGGTCGTCCTTTCAGCTCAGGCTCAGCCTTCACAGAGCATAGCAAGAATAATCTTTTGGTGCAACCCGACCCCTG